ATGGGGAATATTTGGGTAGCCCAAATTAAAAAAAATTCTGGCAGAGTTTAGCATTTCAATATTTAAAAACTTGAAAAACAACAACAACAACAAAAAAACACAATAAAGAGTTAAAGGCTATGATAATATATTATCTAAGAATAATTTAAGAATATATAAGCCAATTTTTTTTCTTTGTTTAAAATCACCGTTAACATTCCCCTAATTGAATAATCACATTATTACTGATTTATTAACACTATTTTCATAATCGTAACCAAACTGATAAACTCATTATTTTACATTAAGGTACGAAGCCGGTTTCCTGATGTGTATTTCATCTTTGTCGGTTCAAGAAACTGCTATTGACACTACGTGTTACATTTCTGGTCTTCTGTTACAATCCCTGCAAGGAGATATGAGACAAATGTATCTGTGCAGGTATGTTTTAAAACTCAGCATCCTTCAAGCACAACAGTCACAGTATAGCCTGAGGAGAAACGTGATAAAGATTGTAGTGTGACTGTAAGAAACTTCCGATTGTGTGATTGTCTATGTGGTCCTGGTAAACCCCATACTTTAGGAGAACAAAATTTCCCAACAAAGATGACAATATCCGTAATCCGTATCCTTGTGTGTGTGTGTGTGTGTGTGTGTGTGTGTGTGTGTGTGTGTGTGTGAGAATGAAACTAGATCTGACTGACAGATATTAAAGGCCACACCTCTTTTTTACCATTACAATATGTGTGTGTGTGTCCCCTGATCCCTCATGAATGATGCAGAGTGATCTGAGGTTTTGACCCTGTAAGGGATACATTTTCAGCACCTTTCAGCATCTTGGGCAACGTCTGGCAGTTTCATTGGGTCATAATTGATTTTGTACTAAGAGGAAGTTTAAATGTGCAATCACAATTGAGCTGAATCTTTCAGGTCATAAAGTCATTTCTCCCCTCAAACAAATATAAACTGGCATTTCGTAGTGGTTTTGTTGTACATTTGAGATTAAATAGACAACCTTTTTCACCAAACAAGGAACTTGAGAGCATTTTTAAACAAAATCAGATCAAAGATTTCAGATCACATTTACATTATATGCGTTTACTACGTAATTTACACATGAGAATAGTGCTACGGTACCAAATTTACAAAGAGTAAATGCATTTATAAATATAAACATGAAAAATGTTGTTGTTTTTTTAGGACTGCAATGTTTGTGTGTGCTCTGTGTAATTATTTTGTATATATAAATACACACATGCATGTATATATTTGTATAAGAAAATGTGTTATTCGTATATAAAATATTTATATGTAATATAGATTGTGTTATATATTTTCAGTATTTAGGTGCAAATTATTCTTAAATAAATACATGCATGCATATGTATTTATATATAAAAAATAAACACCGCACACACACATATATTATGTAAACACAAACTTTTATTTTGGATGCGATTAATCGCCATTATTCTTTGCACAGCCCTAGTTTTTCTTTTTCTTTTTTTTCCTTTTTTTTCTGTTTGGACTACATTCTTCTTCTCATTTAATAGGTAAAACAAGCCATATTAGTTTATATAATGCTAATGCAGATCAGCATGTGAGAGAGACGTAATGCATGAACAGCTGCACATCAGATTTAAACTGATTTCACCCTGTGAATACTCTGCAATACCGTTTGCAAACCACAAACACTGAAATTTTGATTTTCACTCTGATTTTTAGTATGATTTTTTTGCTTGAACAACAGTTACAAAACTTGAACAAATAAAATTAAATAAATAATAATAATAATAATAATAATAATAACAATACAAATAAAAGGGCCAGGGTTAGGTCTACAAAAATATATAAGATACAAAAAAAAACGGTATAAACCAAACAGACATTAAAAGGCTTTGACAATTCACAAAATCATAAATGTATTCAATAAATGAATGGTTTTAACAGCTTTTGTGTTTGTACTGTCCTTAATAGAAACCATATAGTGTTCTAATTCTTTCAAAACCACAGCAAAAAGAGGTTTCTGATTGCTAAATTTACACCGATGAATATGGAACTTAAATATAATCACCAAATTAATATGCTTAATTTTCCATACTTTTTTCATATTTGACTAAACCAATTATTACATGTTAACAAAAGGAAGTTGCAATCTATTCTGTCATTACTAAATTTAGAAACTTCCCACCATAACCTCTTTGTTTACTGACAGTGCCAAAAAATATGAGGTACACTTTCTGGTTGCAAAAAGAAAAAAATTTTTTTTACATCTATATCTTTGTTAAATTTGGATATAAAATGTTTAGCGGGGTAAAATTTGTGCAATATCTTAAATTAAATTTCCTTGACTTTATTTGTAATGATATATTTATTAGGCAACAGCCATATCATACTCCAATTCATAGTTCCAATAAACCTTGACCAATAGGAAATGGCATGTGGTTTAAAGTGAATGTATAAACTTATTGTTTTTGCTTATCGAAAAACAAACTTACAAAACGTATCAGCTATATGCAGTACAGGGCAGGCACATTTAGAGTATATATCATCATATAAATTGTACTGGAGAATGTGTATATAATTACAAGTTGCAAAGTAGAAGCATTTTCACTGGTCTCAGACCTTTGAGCCCCACTTTATATTTTATTTCATCAATAGTAAGCTACTCCAGAAATCAGAATACTAAGAGCTATTTTGTGAATAGTGATGGTTCATGTTCATTTATTGATTTGAAAATGGTTTTAAAGCTGTTTCACTTTAGGATTAAGGAAAATGGAGGGATTTCTGTTTTTGTTACACATTGAGTGCACAATAGAAACCATAAAAAGACAAGAGAGTGTGATATTGACTCTCTCGTGGCGTCTTAGGCCCTGTTTACACCTGGTATTAAGATGCGTTTTGGTGGATCGGATCACAAGCAGACGAGGGAAACGCATTCCCATTTACGCCTAGTGTTTTAATCCGTCTCTTTTGTCAACTTTCGGCCATCTGTCGATTTCTTCAAGGGTCGAACATGTTTTTTTTTTCTTAGATCTTTCCATTTAATGGACAAAAAAAGCTTGTGCAATTTACGTGAACAACGGAGATTACAGAAAATACTTCTAAGACTACCTTTAAAAGTTCTTAAAAAGCTCAAAACGTTTTAGACCCCATATATACCCTTGTTAAGTGTTGTCCACTTGTGATCCGATCGACCAAAAGACATCTTAATACCAGGTGAAAACAGCTAGGGCCTTAGAATTGAGGATACTTCTTATATTCATTTTTCTTTCACTATCTCCTGCTTTCTTTTACAAATGCCTCAGTGATGGAGCATTTACTCAGGTTTCTGTGTGTGTGTGTGTGTGTGTGTGTGTGTGTGTGTGTGTTGTTGTTGTTTTTTTTTTGGTTGTTGCATGGTTTCTAGGTGTGAAATGATCCCTTTAGAAAAGCTTCTCAGTCTAAGAGCTCTTTCCCTTTACATTGACACTTCCAGCAGAACACAGCGGATCTTATAACGTGGCTGTTCACACCTGTTGCTTTAACTATATAGGAATTATGGCAAAGTTTTTTGCTTGAACCTTTAAAAACACAATTCTCAAAACTCAATATTTTATAATGAGATGTATTTTAGTTTAACAGTACAGAATTGAGATAAATACTGTATGTTTCTGACATATGATTCTTGCTATTAGTGAATAAAATGTGCAGTATTTTAATAATAATCTGGTATATAGTATGTGATATGCACTGTATTTGCATAGTTCGTTTTCAAATGCAAATGGAAAGTTACTACACCATATAATCACATTTTTTTTACGTATATGAAAATTGCAAATGTGTCCAGGAACTCGCAGTCATTTACTGTAAACCACTAAAGAGTTATCAGCATCCCTGACTTCCTTCTTTACATCTTATAATCTATGTCCTCTGTACATTTTGTTTAACTTCGAGATGCCTGAGGGGTCTGATGTGTGTGCGTGTGTGAAACTGTGTGGGTGTGTGTGAAGGCAGACCGCAGAGCACGCACCTTGTGTGACACAATGCCAGATACCTTCAGGTCTTAACAAAACTAAGATTAACATAAATACAAACATGGCTGCAGTTTATTTATGCATAAAGATAACATGCAAAGATATTGTCCACATCTTATCCTGCTCATTAACCTAAATAAAATTAGTCTAGTGTATAAAATACACCAAAACTATCATTATTCCAATTAAAACAAATGTCAAAAATGATGTCAAAATAAGACAAAACTTCCAAACGCAAAATAAAAATGTTAAAGATTTTAAAAGTTGGGTATGCAGTCCTTTATCGGTTTGCATCAGTTACCGTCTGAGATGCAGATGCATATTTGACATCATTCTGACACGACAGAATTTGTATCTGCAAGTGATGCATTACGACTTGAAGTAAGTAAGTGTTTTGAAGGGAAAAAAAATATTTCCTTTGCAACTAGAAATAAATGATCAAGAATTAAGCATAATACACATAATCATAATATTTTTGGGAAAGTATGGTGTGTAATGGGAGAGCAATTAGGCTCACGTAAATAATTATGACTTCATCATGACTACATTATGGCTATGTGAAAAGAATACAGTAAAATATAAAATAAAGCAAAATAAAACATATTTTCATTTAATTGGAAAAGGTCATAAAAACCATGCAGCCAAAACCTCCCTCTTTCATTCTATTGGATATTGAGAGAATGACACAACCTTTAATTTGCATGTTAAAACCACGTTCTTTCACCTGAGCCTTTGGTTTCTGATCCCAAATAAGATGCATTTCACACCTGTGGCTGCAGACTCTCAGTCTTTTATATGAGGTGTTAATGAGTTAGACCCCCACCCCACTCAAAGCACACTTACACACATGCTGAAGTTTCTCTCCAGCGCTGAGAGAATTAAGGGAGGATACACCTGTCCTATCACACACCTGTCTCAGGCTGCCAGCCAATCAGAGCAAAGAAGGCAACCTGTTAGGTGGATAAATGGAGAGATGATGTGGTTACAAATCAAACCACTTCATTTATCAGGACATAAACACATAGACACACGTTCAACTAGACGTGCAAACACATCTTGGAGAAGAGACAATATAACAAACTAAGGATTGTATCACCACTGCCTGTCAGAGGAGTCATGACCAAGGAGATTGAGTAAGTCATTATTTGTTAAATTTATTTCCATTAGATTTTGCAATGTTATTTTTTATTTATTTATTTTTTTTGCTTGGCTGTGTTGAACACATAGCTTTTTTGAAATATAGATTCAATCAAGCTTAATTTAATTGATCTTATGCAAAAATTCCTATTTGTTTTATTTTAAGTGGAATTACTGAACTTAAATATTTTGATAAAAAATCATTTTTCAAATGGCATTTAGAGGCTTTTGCATCTGAACTCTTCATATATTTTTAACATTTTAAAAAATATATTATATTCGATTTATTATCAGCAACGGTCTAGACATTCTCAAATGAGCTGTTAATGCAGGATTAACAAATGCATGTTGTTCCTTATATGATTCATCTGATTTCTTTGTGGGTTGCGTTATACAGTAGTTTGCAGTTTCACCGCTCTGAGCTGTCTCTTCCTCTTGAGTAATGTCTTTCTCCTCTTCTCCCACTCTCCCTCTGCTCGCGTGTAAGCGGGCCCCCACATGAATGAGTACATGAAGATAATTTCTGCTGAAAATTGACACCAGGACCCAAACATACATTCTCTGTCTCTTACACTCACAGACAGCCTGGTGTAACTGTCCAAAAACAGAAACACATCAGTCTTTGTGTTAGAGGTTGGGGTCTATGTCAACATGCAGGTGCCTAGAATTAGTCAATAGGGGTTCTTAACAGGGATTTAAAAATCTATGCAGTTTTTTATTTTTTCCCGTTTTTTTTTTTAAAGAAATGAGAAAATGCTCTTTCATTAAGTGTGAGCACAGGTGCCTAAACAGCTCTGTTTGCATTTTAGCTTATCAAAGCAGACCACCTCATTGCTAAGATCAGGGAAGTTCCCAAAACAAATCTAACTGTGTGAGGACTTCTTCAAATCCTTGTCTTTTGTTTGTGGTGCTTGTGTTGAGTTAAAATTAAGTTCCTTCACTTAGGCTTTGCTTGACCGTTGATCCGTTTCAAGAGTTTTTGCCCTTCAGAAGTTAGATGAGAAGAGAAAGTCGGATGTTTGCCACCATTCTTCTTCACATTTAGCCATTTCTTTATTTAGTTTTTGCCTGAAATGATGTGATTAGGGAGGTTTTCCATTTTGGCTTGAAGTCTGAAGGGTTCACTTCATTTATTTTTGTCACTGAGCATCGTATGTGCACCAGAGGCACATTTTTGTGGCCTTTGAAACTGTTATTAAATCATTTTGCCATACATCACACTACTGACATTTGCAAAATCACGTTGCAGTTCTTGGAAAGGCTTGATGTTGTATCTGTGCTAATATCTCATTCGTCTTTCTCATAGGGCTCTCATGGTACAACAGAACGAGAGTTTCAACTACTTGAGGTATTCAGACAATTACGCTATGGACTCTTGGCCTTACGAGGATGAAATCAGCAAGAGTAAACCCAGACTTCAGTCAGATGAAGACCTGGCTATTGATATCTTCTATGACCACTGCAAGGTAATTATTATCTTTTAAAATATACATGTTTTAATCATTATTCAATTTATATATACAAAAGTTAAATTGCGAAAAAAAAAATTTCAGACCCCAAAAGAGCCGATGATGACGTGTACCCGTGGTAGCAGCATGTACAAATCCAGAGAGGAGAGGTAAGTTTGACCATAAAGTTTTATGATTTATGAATCGAAATGCTTACAATACTAAGCATACAGTAAAGAAGTACTGTCCGAAAGTATCAGACAGAAGGCAAGATGAACATAAATTATCCAGATTTAAATGCCACATTTTCTCCATCCTGTACTGTTTTGCTAGGTTGAGTAATTTAGCCAAAGATTATCTGAGGTCAGAGCTGGTTCAGCTGTTAATCCTTTTCTTCAACCCATCCCAAAAACGACTGAGTCACTACACAGCACCCTTTTGTGCAAGTGAAAAATAGCTGCTATAGAGCTTGTTGTTGGTCTCCCCGATGTCAAACCCAGCCGAGAAACTCAAACAGTGAAAAAAAAAAATCAGCGTTAGGTAGCAAACAGCTCCCGCCCAGAGTGTTTGGCTTTGCTTTTCATGAAAAGAAAGCTCCATAAACAATGCAGAGATTTAGCAAAGCTTTTATTGACTTTAACACTTTTTTGTCATCATTGTTTAGATAGATAACAGATGACTTTGTGTAAATAGCATTAAGGATTGAGTACCAACTAGAAGGTTCATAATATGTATTGGCCTTTATCCCCACAGGACACCGAACAGCTCTTCCCCTGAGCTGGCCACACTGGAGAACGCTCAGATCATGAAAATTCTCTCTGACAATATTTCCTTCAGCCACATAAAGCAACCATTAGCGAGCACTGAAAGCTTCCCAGTCAACATCAACAACATCTTGGAGTCCCTCCTCCCCCCACAGTCACAGAAATCATGGCAATCTCACCCAAACTTTCTCGAGGTCACCCCTGAGGTTTGTATAGCACATTTAAAATATAGAGTATATTAATATAATAATATTTTATTTTATTTTAAAATAGTATATATATCATTTTTATTTAAACTATTATCATTTTTGTGGTTGTTTCTGAGCCATTCCAACAACATAAAATGTGCCATGAATGCCTAAAACAGGTGCTTTGTCGTTTATAATTACCATCGATTTATGACGCATGTTTTTGCTTTCTTAAAAAAACAGCCTCTTAGCAACCGCAGTGCTTTTGTGGGACAGGCAAGCCCTGTATACTCCTACCCCAACTCTTCTCCAGAGAGATACAGGTGAGACAGGCTGTCTGAGCCTTTAGAAATCAGTCAAGAGTTTTTCTTTCTCAATCTTTTGCCTCTATAAAAAATAACTGCCATTACAAGCTGTAAAAGACTGAGCAATGCTGTTCCATAGAAATGTTTTAATTTGACAGTTTTTGTTGTTGTTGTAGGAATGACTTCCAATTCGTTCTTGGCTCCCCACAAGCTTCCCAGCACAAAACTACAGAAATACCCATGGTGTACCTCAACAAGGGCCAGTTTTACCCCATCACGCTGCAGGGAGTGGACAGCACTGCTGGGGTGTCATGCAGTAAAGTAAAAGTAAGTTACACGTTCATAAACACACAGTGGGAATTTCTAAAATTGCGTAAGGGTCAGAATTCATGCTCACAATAAAACATTTTTTTCCTTAAGTAATCTTCCCCAAAGACAAAGAGTTACTAGATAATTTAGCATCTTTTAAAGTGCCGTATTTTGACATTTTGTGGCTTAGTAACCTTGGCGTGCAACTGCAAAGAAGATTCGGGGCAAGAAATCTTAGGCCAAACTCATATTCTTTTGCATATTGTAAGACTCTGAACTGAGTTGATGGAGAAGAAGGTGTGACAGATTGGCTCTTTTGTTTAAAGCACACACTGCGTGACAAAGGAGAGAGAAAGGAGTACCGTATTAGTGTGGTGACATCGCTTGGTAAACAGCAAAACGCCAAGTATTTGTCCTACAGGGAGTCACCACTCTCTAAAAGCCACAAAAGTAGCAGGTTGTTATAATACTTTCTTTTCCTTTATCTCTTTCAGACGGTGATCATGGCTGTGTTTGAGAATGACAAGAGTCCCGAGATGCAGCTAAAGTACTGGAACCACTGGCACGCTCGACAGCCTACCGTCAAACAAAGAGTCATTGATATCGGTGCGTAATTATCACTCTACCTAAAAAACAATTATTTTGTCAATATCCAGTTAAAATATCTTATACATCCAAAAGGATATATTTATTTAAAGATATGTTGAATTACAATATTTTCATTTATCACATTGGCTACATGGCTCATCATTTTTTATTAATTTTATTGGGGAAAAAAAAGACAATACTGACTTACTAAGTCAGATGTCATTTCAGGTGGAAGGTTTTGATTGATGTGTTTAATTGAAAACAACTTATATGCATACATTCTTCTATATTGACTCTCAGCTGACTACAAGGAAGTTTTCAGTGGAGTGAGCAACTTGGAAGAGGTTGCTTTCAACGCTCTGTCCTTTATCTGGAACACCAATGAAGAAGCAAAGGTAAAAACCACAAACACGCACAGATCCACCTGTCACTTGTTTTTGTGAAATGATGGGTTGAAAGGAGGATCATTTAGAGGAGTGTCAGAGAGCAGTGGTATCTTCGGTATGCAGCCTCCTTAGGCACCTGTCATTATAGGGAATAAAATAGAAAGAGGGAGGGAAGCGAGCAGGAAAGAAGAGAAAAAGAAAGAGAAATAGGGCACATTTCAGCATGCCCCTAGGGTAGTAATGGGTGGGACAACGAAACTCACAGCAGGTGGAGCAGAGACGTAAAGAAAGAATACAATCACTGCAACGCACTTTTATTGACTTAATAAAATCGCAACTCCAGCACTATGACGAAAGCCATTTTAAGATTTATAGCTTGGAACTAAATAAATAATTCTTCTGTCAAATATCATAATCCATTAGTCTAATGTTAGAATGTTTATAGTTGCCAAGCAATATGGCAACAGCCCTTTTTTTCTAATCAGAATTTGAATTCAAATATATTAGATTTTTCTGGGACATCGGCACCTGTTCATTCATTTTTTTATTCCTTCAGTTTATGCATCATCATAATATTTAGATGATTATTTTTTATTGTTTTGTCTCCAGTTCTAACATGTTGGATCTCGCCATGTTGTTCTCCATATGGACACTCCTTTTCTTTTGAAATGAATTGGAATTATTGAACAACCAATCACGCCATATTTGCATATGACGCATCTAATGTGTCTTATCCCTGACCCTTCCTTTTGTCAAAGCATAGGTTTGTTTTTAACAGGCCTGCGCATGAACTAAACAATGCATGTTCTTTTACTCTGCATTTTTATTTTTCTATTTAAACTGTCATGTTGTTCAATAACAAATCCAGCTTCCTATTTAAACAATACTTCCTTGAGATTTCATGTATCTGATGTGTTTCACAGGTGCACATTGGCATCAACTCTCTGAGCACTGACTTCTCCTCACAGAAGGGGGTCAAAGGTCTTCCTCTGAATCTTCAGATCGACACGTATGATTTCAGCTCAGGGAACAACCGTCTTATTCACAGAGCTGTTTGTCAGGTCAAGATCTTCTGCGATAAGGTGAGCCAGTGCCCAATTATGTGTAACCTTTATTTTTAGAAAAAAACGTAAAACAAAATATTTAACTTTTATGAAATATATTTAGATTTTTAATAATATATTTATAAAAAATACAATCATATTATTCAATTAAAAATATAATCTTGAATCTTGTAACAGTGTGAATAGATGCACGCATACAATTCAAGTCTTGATCAGAAACATTAAGTTTCATTATCAGGGTGTGCGTTGGATTTCTGTAGCTTGTTTGGCTCATCTTAGACTGCGTCATAAACTCTAAAACAAAACAACGTCCTGACTCATGACCTACTAAGTCATAAAGCGGCGTGACCTCTGATTTGGTTACGCGATAACTGTTTTCACTGAAGCAGAAAAAAAGACACTGAATAACTGAGCATTTTTCTTTTGACTCTTTCGATGTCTCTCACCCTTACTCTGTCTGGTACCTCTAACTGATTCCTATTGATCTCTTTTGTTGAGCTGATCAGATAAACGTCAGCACACTGCGCTATCTCCCTCATCTCTTTAAAGGTCGTTTGAGTGTTTCAAGTCGGCCTTAGTTATTAGCTGATTGACTGTGTGGGGGTTAATTCATGATGGGAAGGTCAGATTTAACACACGTCTGACTGGTTTAGCAGCAGAAGGTGAACAGAGTGCATTGCATTTGCTGCATAGCTGTGGTTTCTCTAGCTGGATCAAATGCATATTTTCTACACAGCTGACATTTAAACTAGACATGAACTCGGAGTTTTTGAAGGGTTGTATATATACTTCACAATAAATATTATTAAGAAGTATGGAAGAAGAGTTAAAAAAATGAAGGTTATTTCTTACTGGTAATACCCTTTGCTATGTCATTAAAAAGCATCTGGGCAGTTCGTGTTTTAAGAGTTGAAATTATTCATTAATTGTTATGAATTATTGGATATGCCAGAGAAATTTTGATTTGCTCAGATTCTAAATGTTTTATTGCTCTTAAATGCTTGCAGGGTGCTGAGAGGAAGATGAGAGACGAGGAGAGGAAGAGAAGCAAGAGGAGGACCAAAAATGTTGCAGACTCCAGCAACAATGGTGAGTGCCGTCAGTCACATAATTACAGCCTGAGACTCTCAGGGAACACCCATTAGCAAAATCATAAAAGAGAATACAGAGCAAATGTTCCCCGTTTGGTGTCCATGTTGTGACTAATGATGTGTAAAAGAGGGCTCACAAGCTTAAATTACCTGCGGGCTACTAGCCAAGCGGTGTTTTCCACAAGGATCTAATTGTCGTTAATTTTGCCTTTATGAAACGTTTTTTCTTCTCCTCAGGTTGCAAACAGTCCCTAGTCTCAAGCTCTGTTGGAAAGGACTCTACCTACTTTAAAACTCTTGATGATCACGTCACACAACCTGTTTTATTCATCCCAGAGATGCACTTCAGCACCATGCAGCGCTGTGGCCTGGTACGTCTGTCTTTCACACATATACACACGCACACACACACGTGCTCTTCCCTACATCCTTATGCGGCTTACCGCAGCATTGTTGAGTCATGTTCACCACCCCCCCGAGCTGTGAGAGTATGGGAGCGAGAGAGGGAAAAGTGTGGGAAAAAATGTGGTGGGAAAGAAGTGGGCTTGGAAAAGAGAGAAAGTGATCTCGAGATCAGACATGCTAACTGGTGCGCTCCAGAGTTTACATGACAGCGAGCGAAACTCACCTGAGATGGGGACGGCCATGCTGACTGACACAGGGATTAACCCGTGGGAGCTCAAACACACGCACGCACACACACTTCTTCTGAGGGTGTTGAAGAGATGCTTTTCAGCTGTGTTTACACGGGCTGAGAGAGGAGGGATGGAGACTGTTCCGACAGGCCTTTATCCCACAGTCCAGATTTCAACATCATTTCATAGCACCAGTTGGCCTTTTTACACGAAGCCAAAGCCCATGTTAACGTATTTAGCATATTAGCAAAAGATTAGGAAATCATGAGACCACCCTACATTTTGTTCGGCATTGTTGCAGCATTCAAGATGTCACTGTGATAATATTGCTGTCATTATCATCAGCATGTGACATTTTAACAACTAATCTCTTTGTTATTGTCCAGGTGCCCCCTGTTAGCCTGGAAGAAATGGACAAGACATCACGGAAACGTGTCAGCAGCTACGCAGACGTTGGTGACCAGAGCAGCTCACCTCCAAGCAAACAAGCCCGCCAAGACGAGCAACAGAGAGGTACAGAAGACTCAGGATCATTTTAACATAACAAAACAATCTCAGTCTCACTTTGTTTCACGATAAAAATCGCAGTCCCACAGTGTTTTGATAGTGGATTCTTTATTTTATCTTCAGTTTTACTCTATGTCAGACGAGAGACCGAGGAAGTATTTGATGCCCTCATGCTGAACACGCCAACCCTCAAGGGCCTGAGAGAAGCGGTGAGTTTTTTTTTTAACCTCTCTTTCCTTTACGCATTTTAGCAAAGATCTCACTTCAAACCTTGAGAGGAATTGGACCTAAGACATGACTCATTTATTCCTTCTCAGATTTCAGAAAAGTACGGTATGCAAGAAGACACCATTGGGAAAATCTTCAAGAAGTGCAAAAGAGGGTGAGTGAGATTAAGCTAAACTTCACTGGGCGACAACGTTTGGGGACTGTTGCAAGCTGTGACTAAGTCACAGATACAGATAGAGGGATGTCGAAACGCTCTTACATAGAGACGAACGACTGTTAAACCCATTTCTTATAATCTGAGCTCCATCTCGACAAGCTGCCAGGAAGCAAAGTCGACAGACCGGGTTGACAGGAGATCTATAGTGTTTGGAATGTGATGATTGCTGCTCCCCTTTAAAGACAGTGAATTAAAAGCAAAAGAAAAGGAGGAAGACAAGATGATTTCAACATAGGTAGTCATATGACTGCGCTGTATGTTTTTTTTGTTTGGGGTTTATGAAGCTCCGAGAGAAACAGTAGAGATGAGGGCTCTGATAGGAAGGTGGCGCTGGTGTCTGGTTGTGTAAGAGACCTCTGAGAACAGCATTTATCTCTTTGGTTGGTGATCACCCATGACACCATGTAGATATTTGCGTTTACCTGTTCACTCATCCATTGAAGAACATGTGTGGGAATAACTCACTTCAGTGCATCATAAAGTAGAAGGCATTAAAATAAAGCATATAATTATATGGCTGTATTCCACGTCCCTGCTGAAGCGTTCAAGGAGTGTTCGACCTAGATAGGTCAAAGAAACATGTCCAGGACTTTTAAAAAAAAGCTTTTGTCTTAATCAACCTAGCCTAGAGCTGTGTAACTTGGAGCTCAACTTTCCTCAGGCCGTTAGCTGATGATATGGCTGAGGGATAGGGACAGGTCGAGCCACATTCTTGCTCGTTCTTTCGCCCCAATCTTCAATCAGACTCCTTCCACCCTCAGGGCTGGAAGAGCTGGCACAGCCTCACTTAGTCTGTCATACATCCGAACATCGTATACACGCTGGCCGGTGGAGACGACTGTTTTGCCAAAAAATGGATTGCGTAAGTCGTGAGATAAGGATTTGTGTTTCTAAGGATCTAAATCAGGGTTTGCCCTTAGAGAAGGAATGATGAATGCTTTAGAGGGTTGAACATGAATGCTAAAGGTTTCGTTCAGCAGTCGGTAGGGCACAGTTCATCTGAACGTCGGTCAGTGTCTCTCAACAGCTCAACACACACAATCATAATGTTTAAAATAAGTAATGTGGAGTGATGTGCAAATGTCAATGACCGGGTGTCAGAATTAAAGCGTTGTGGCTTTTGTGCCGACGAGAAACAACTATTTATCTAAAATATCATCTTAAAAATGTATCAGTTGACTTAACTCAAAAAAAGTGAGCTAACCTGTTGCCTTAATCTTTCAATACGCATGAAGCTTTATTTAATTTTAAGTTGTGTGGAAAAAGTTTTAAGGCAGCGTGTGTCCTTGCTTTAAGTCAACTGATCACTTTTTACAGTGATGTAGTTTGTGTGTGTTTGGTTCTAAAAATACACAATGGTACCAACATATATCACCTTTCACTCTTATTATAGTTTTTTAATGTTTTTACATTGAAATTACTTTGTTGTCATATTACACTCTCTTATGTGTATTCATTAAAAACTGTGTATTCAAAAAAAATGTTTGAACCTACAGCAGAATTTCTACAACTTATTTTCTCTCTCTTTCTTACTATCTATCCACAGGATCTTTGTGAACATGGACGACAACATTATTGAGCATTACAGCAACCACTCTGCCTTCCTCATCGAGATCACTGAAATTATGATCAGCCACTTCCAGATCACACTAATGGAGTTATAAATGACATCATCCCCTTGCCACACCACACCTGGTTCTGCTGGCAGCTTCTCTCGATCGAAAAGCACGACTGTGAGCCAGATTCTGCGGTGCCAGAACTGTCGCTATGGAAACAGACAAGCTCACCTGCCGGTTAAATCATAATCAGTTTCTACAGACATGTCAATATTGACCCTTGTAAATACCAGTTACCTCTTTTGTACCTTTTGTATTTTATCTACAACTATTTTATAACATGAGCAATTATGATCAACAAGGTACATTGTAAATATTAATTGTAAATAGACATAATTATCATAATATTGTGTGTTGACATGATTTTTAAAAAGTTATATGTTATTATTTCAACGACAAACTTGCCTTTTTAATGCTGCCTCTTTGCTGCTTATGATAGGCCTATCATTTCTTGGACAGGACGTGAGGTGTTTGTATCACTTTATGGTTCGCATGTTTATGAATCTTTCCGCGTGTTACTTAAGCATACTTCCAGTTAGGGTGCTGTAACTATCAGTCTTAGTTTCACATCTGAAACGCGCTACAAACACACACAAGCGTCTTAGACTTTTAAGTCGAACATTTCTCCCCCTAAAGAGCTGTGTATCTGTCAGTGTTTCGATCATCACATTTTGAAAACTGGCTGTAAGGGTTGTCAGGACAACCGGCCATTTGTCCTCCGACATTTAAACAAGTTCGGACGAACCACTGCAATATCGAACTTGCCCAAACATCAGATAACGCTGACTTCATTTTGTGGCGTTTGCTTCACAAAACTTTTAATTTCAAATTACATTTCAAATGCATTGTGTTTCTGTCAAACAATATTGATATACTAAAGCTGTGTTTCCTTTTTTTACTGCCTTTGCTTTTGTAAGGAAAATAAAATCAAAATCAAAAATCCATAACATGTTTTGTCATTGAATTTCCTTGCATATAGCCTAAATCGTCAATTCACTAAGTCGCGCAAACTGTGATTGATGGTGAAGTCAGAAATATGAGAAAAATATAGCGTAAAAACTCAAACTAAAGTTCACAGGTGTCCACAATTTGGATTTATTTCACAGCTGTGTCAGGTCACTAGAATGTTTCGCACCTTGCTTTTTCAGCGGCGCTACTTGCGCGATGCACGGTGAGCAGTGGGCTGCACCATTCGTGCATCTCTCAACCGAACCGCTAGACGACGCTAAAATCTACACACTGCACCTTTAACTCAAAGTCAGTCAACTCAGAGTTGATTGAACTCAATTCAGCTGTTCTGTAACCGAAAACTCAGAGTTTCCCATCTCAGGGTAAGTCAATTTAGAAGTTTAGTTGGTTGAACCTCCTTATTGAAACTTGCCCCAGCTATTGCCTTCACGTTATTTTTCAACACGGAAGATGTTTTCCGTGAATGTGCGAGACTTCCGATTTGTTCGCCGGTAAGAAATAGGCCTACCAGTTTGCAATATTAAGCAGCATAACACACTGCTGTAGAGCTAAAAAATAACGCAAATGACACCTGAAATATTACTTCCAACTTTTGAAGTTGCTTATTGTCGCAACAGAAATCATGGAGGACACCATTATTATTATTGCATAATAATAGCCTACTTGGAAATCTTATTAAAGCCAAAATTATATTTAGCGTCCCATGATTAACATTAAAATTCACTGCGCTATCGAGTTAACTTGCTGACAATTTAAGGATTTCAGTCTAATACTGGCTATGTTCACTGTGTATGAAACAGCCTACTCTACGCTTCAAATGATAAGGCTACTCATGCAACAAGGCGATGAGCACCACAGCAGCCTCTCCCCGGCCCGTCCAACTCGCGAACTTGTGTATCAAAATGATCTTTGAGCTTACCAGTGGCAAATACGACTTGCATTTGAGAGGGTGTTCATGTCCAATTTTTTACTAGGAAACTCGTATTTATGATAATTCCGATAGCAAGGTAGAATGATTCAGAAATAGATACGCATGACTCACCGATCTGCAAGTTCTATGCAAATGCGTCTTAAACAGACCTAAGAAAGCAAATATGGGCCAAGTCAATATTCTATGTTTTTATGCAGGGTAAGATGGGAAAATATGTCCACCTCAAATTTTATTTATTTTTTGTACAAGACTGCACAAAATCCCAATATTTTAATGATATGGCTAGCTTATTTTGTGTCTCTGGAAAACAGTGATCTGTGTCACATATGTATATTGTATATCTGTGATGTATATTGTAGACATATTATGCTGTATATCACATTTTTTTGTGTCTATTTTTTAATGAGGGAATTTTGGACACAATGTTTTTAGATTTGACGGGTAAAGTGCAAAGGTAAAATTAGACCCTTGTGGTAAGATGTATTATTAACAGATATGATAAGAGACTGGATTTTAAATTAATATTTGTTTTCCATATTTCCATGTCTCTTATTCTTTCATCAGATCATCTGGTTTAACAGGCAGTCTGCATTTTGCAGTCAGCACACGTCAGACTTGCTGTTTTTTTCTGTTCTTGTGTGTGTGTGTGTGTGTGTTTGAAAAAAGGATGGGGGTGTATGGAAAGCCTCATATACAAAACTAGAGAGAATCTGAGAGTGAGGGAGAAAAAATGACATAAAGCAGAAGGATTCATCTCAGAATGAACAAAAAGAGCAGCTGAATGATCATTCATTCTTCTCCAGAGAGGTAAGTGGATAACATCTCTGCTACTTGTGACTCCAACAGAGAAACAGATGACCGTAACATCTCCGGCAAACGCAAATTCAGGTAAGGATATAAGGTCAATGCACTTATCTTGCATCTTTGCTTTCTATTTATAGTGTCTGCTGTGAGTCGTTTGCAAAAGCCTGATCATCCTTGTCATGATGATGGACTGAGTTAACAATTTTTTTCTCCATAAAAAACAAAGCTCGACTACTGTGTCTCTGGTCACACTGTCATGTTGTTTTTCCAGATATTTAACAACTAGTGCGGTTTGAAGACAGACGCCAAAGGTGGCAGATGCTTTCACAATGCGAGTTGCCTCATTTTGTTGGTAGGGCAGATTCTGTTGTTATTTCATTACGTATAGATGCCAGTGCACCATTTGAAATGTTTGTTTTTGGGTTGCCATGCAACAAAGGCGACTGAAACAAATTAATCAAATTAATGTGATGATAGATAGTACTGTACTCTAAGAGCATGAAGTGATTGACCAAACTGTTAAAACGTACATCCACACCCCTTCCGCAGACACCTTTGAAGGTGATATTGTCAAGACGTCGGTTAACAGCCGATTAGATGATGAAAATACACCGCTGTTGTCAAACTATATTGGGTGTCTGTCTACAGGTTCATGTATTAAAAATAACATCAAGTCAATTGCAGGTTCCCTTTTGTCCTTGTCTTTTATGAATGTGTGTGTGGAACAGACATCAGCATGCTCTCTCAGCTCCCAGATGTCTGGCTTCCTGTCTTGTGTGTCTGTAACACACTCTGTCCAGTTCACAATATCAACACTGATGACAACACAACCACTTACGTCAGAAGACACTAGCACCTGTGGCTGTGTACAGAACTGTTTCAGACATACCGTAGGATCGCCCGGGTTACTGTCTCTTAGCAACAGCAGGCCGTTCACCTCCACTGTGCTGGTTGCCAGGAGTGACGATGTTTCTTAGAGCTCAAAGGAGAGTCAAGGCGTGCATATACGCACTCTTTCTCTTTTAGATCTAACAGACGGCAAAACCAGGAGTGTATTTCTGCCGATGGGCATCAGATTTAAATGAAAGCGTCTTCTAGAATCTGCGAGTAGAATGACTGTAATTGAAATGTGATTCTTTTCATCAGGTCTTTGCCGGTGATTTCACGCTTAGCATCGTCCTGAAGAGCTGAACATCAACAAAGACACGATGCAAACTCCAGCGTCCATGCTGATGGGAGTGGTGTTCGCACCCTTGGGCCTTGTGCTGATGTTCACCGCAGCGATCACCCCGCAGTGGAGGGAGGGTCATGCGCGGCTTGGTGCGGCAGGGCGGGGCGGAGCAACGGAGCTCCTCCTACTCCGCTCAGACGGCCTATGGGAGAGCTGCCTGCAGGTAGTGCACTCGGAGGTCAAAGAGTGCTGGCCCGTGTCGGGGTCCTACCAGCGGGATGCTCGGGTTCGAATGGTCCAGGGGATGGTGCTGTCGTCTCTCTTCCTGTGCGGTGCGGGGATCGTGCTCGCCAGCGTGGGGGTCCGCTGCTGGACCGATATCCCGCTCAGGAGTGTGGCGGCAGCCGGTGGCCTGCTGGTTGTGCTGGCAGGCGTGCTCAGTTTGGCTGCGTTAGGGGTGTATACTCGGCATCTTTCGAAGCTGGGGATCGAGGTAGATTCAACTGTATCGGAGACGCAAGGACTCAACGTACACAAGCCACCCCGGCTAACGCTACACCCGGCCGGGTCGCTCTACTTCGGCTGGGTGGGAGCTTGGGTACAGGTGCTGGGAGGGGCCGCACTACTTTTTGGGTTCAAAAGCATGAGGTGTTCATTCCGCCATAATCAGAGACTCAAAGACAGTACTGAGATGTATGAGGTGAACTGTTAGATGGGCCGATCATTTATGAGAGATGAAGAGACTCTTATGGTGTTCAAACACATTGAGATTGGCTATGTTCAGACTGCAAGCGAATGTGGCCCAAATCCATTTTTGTTTTTTTTGTTTTTTTGCTTTGCTTATTTGTGACTCACATCTCTTTTTTTCATGGTAGTGTGAACAGCACAAACCACATTCAATCTGAGTCCGATTTGTGCCACTTCCACGTGTGGTACTAAATCCGTTACAGGCAGATGTTTTGCAATGCGACCTCACTGAACAGTCAAATTGGAATTCATGGAACTTTTGCATCGCTGAGGTGACCAAACTCGGTCCTGGAGGGCCACTGCTGCAGAGTTTAGCTCCAACTCCGTTTAGCCTTAAAATACCTTCCTAGAAGCCTTTAGTTTTGTTCAGACCTTTATTAGCTGGTTCAGTTGTGGTTCTTTGGGGATGGAGCTAAACTCTGCTGGACAGTAGGCCTCCAGGAGCAGGATTAGACAGCTTTGTTGCATAAAATAATGTTATGAAATTGATTTAAATCAATTCGTCTCTAGAGCAACATTCTTCTCAATTCTGCACTCACACAGAGGTGTAGTGGTAAAAAAGAGGTGGGTAAACTATAAATTCTGGTGGACCACGACGTGGTCACCAGGTAAGGTGGGCCACTGCCCACCGGTGTCCGGAGGGCTTGACATTAAGCCTTTTCATACTTAAATTCTCTTGTCAGAGTAAAAAAGTCGCTCGTCCGGAATTTTTATTTTTATTTTGTGTGTGTTCATTTATTTTGAAACAAAATTCTCATCTTTATTCAATCAGCTTTGATATTTAAATCACCATATTGTAATATCTGCAGCTTTAAAGGGCATCCCCTCCCCCAATATCATTTAATGTATGCTTCATCTTTCATTTTAAATTCCTAAATTTGATCAATAAATTCAATTATTTCGAATAATAAGACACTATGGGGATCAAATTAAATCATTTACACTGAAAAATTACAATTGCATAAAATAATGTTATGAAATTGATTTAAATTTACATTTAAACGTTGGAAAGAAAGATACTAAACATTTAACACTAAACCGCCAATAGGTGGCGGCAGGCGACCGTCTTAATGAGTGAGTCATTGATTAATTCATTCAAACGATTCGTTCAAACGGCTGATTCATTCAAGAATGAGACAGATGTTTATGAATGGGTCATTGAATCTTTGACTCAACCGATTCGTTCAAAATGCTGAATCATTCAGTAATGAAAACAGGTTGAGTGTTCCGGTGACATGTGCCGTGGTTCTGCTTTTGTTTGGAACTTTTTTCGCTGCTGAAACAGAACAAAAACATCCAATATTGCATCTAAAGTGTAAGTGATTTAATTTTAACTGTTTATTGAACTGTTGTAGGAAATCAATGTCACATTTTCAATCATGATGGTGTTCAGGAAAAATAAATGAAGTTGCTTAACATATGTTAAAAGTATGAAAACTCCATATTTAGATTTTTATAGGCAGTATGTTGTTAACTGTGTGTGTGTTGCGCTCATTTGTGTAGATTTCTGCCGTCAGTCAACAACACTGAGAGAAATGCTGCGTAATATGAAAGCGCTCGTCTTAGGTTTACAATCTATGAAACTATGAACAATATGAAACTAAAACGACATAAGCTTAATTTAAAATTTCTTAGGAACTACAAGATATTTAGAGGTGGATAAACGCACTTTGGAGGTGCGTAAATGGCGTTTACTTGCGAGCCTCCACATCCCTTCCGTGGTCACGACCCAAAGTTACAAGACAGTTGCGAAAGGTAAGCAGTAATGGACAATGATGTGTCCAAAATCTTAAGTAGGCTATTACACAGTGACAGCTATTTGTGATACAACTACAAATACAGATGATACCGATTTGTGATACAAACAAAACACAACACATGTTTGCAGCGTGCTGCGTGACGTCTTTTATTGTTCTTTTGCGCATGGTCAGTTCAGGACCATGCGCACCAAGGCAAACAAAGCACCAAGGCTTTCATTGTGAATTTAGTTTAAGAAATGTGAAATGCGTTTTTGCATTACTACTGTATTTAATTGTTAATTGTTTAAAATTGTTAATTTAATTGTTTAAGCATTTTGCTGCTTTTTTCCGCTTTTTGCACATGGGCTCCGTCCTTTTAAAATGTTTTGTTAACTTCTTGTCAGTATCTCAAGACTTTTTTCCAATCTGCTGCGAATGCGATATGTCTTGCATTTGTTCCTTTAGCTGCTGAATGCGTGTCTCTCTGTATGTGTCTTATTCCGAAGGCTGCGCCCTCTGGAGGTCGCATTTGTCAGCCACATATGCCAGTGAGGCTGCCTCAGAAAATTACATTCAGAAGTAAAACAGAAATTACAATCATTTACGCCTTTTTATGTCATTTTTTAATTGGTTACTTTTCTGAAATGAAACATCCCCTATGACAGTTGGCAAATGTGACAGAGGGCACAGTCTTCAAAATTATAACTTTTATTTTGTGGCAGATTTTAGTGTTCATCATGACAGTATTGTATTGTTCTTTCCAAAGCTGTCCTGAAATGTAAGAATTAGGCTTTTAGTGCCACAAGGCTGTAGGCAATTTGGACCTTTCCCACTTATGCGTGAGACATGTGTTGTGTCAATTCGTAAGCCTTATGACTGATACACATTTTTAATATTTGGACAAACAGTATTCATCTGTGATATATAGATCTGTGTTACTAATTACTAACTGTACTTGTAAATAGTTTTGTTTCAAAATATGTGTGATTGACAGTAATGCCTATGTGTAAGGGTACTTATTAAATGTATCAAAGCATTTTTTCCTGCTTCTCATGTTGTGTGAAAAGTCAGACTGCTTGAATCACATCTGCCCCTGTTGGTTTGTCTTTGTCATGCTAACTTATGATTTTACACTAAACAGCTTGTTTTGGTATGTTCATAGTCTGACCAGTACATTCCCACATAACAAGAGTTCACATAACAAGAGGTCACGTCAGCAGTTTAAATGAGAAAAAACAAATACTTAAAAAAAAACTTGAGTTTTTTTTTAAACATGTGGATATGTTTTAGATTGAAACAATTAAACATTTTACTGATTTATAATATTTGATCAAATGTTACAATAAAACAAAAAAATAAGGCACATTGCAAGGCATAATTTATCCATTAAACATACATTTATAATGCATTATATATAAAGGCTTTAAGTAATGTGTTACAGAATTAGTTATTTTTTGCCCAAAAAAATATTTAATGAGCATTTAAACCAATTTAAGAGGAACAGATGCAGTGAGGTTTGCTCAAAATAAACACAGTAATAGTACATTTTAACATAAGGCAAATGACAAAGCTCAAATTTCTATTTCTTTTTACATTTTTGATCTGTCTATACATACGTCTATGAACAAAAAAATTAAACAGCAACGTGAAATAAATTATTATAACATTTTGCGTTTCGCATTTGTCTACAAGAGTTTGTCTTTTGATCAACTGAAAAAAAAAAAATCATGCTATTTGGCCAGTGATATTTTAGAATAAAATAAAAAGACTAAGAGAGAAGCTTCAGATAAAACGACATATATACACATGCAGCCATTATACACATGCATACAGTGTTGGAATAAAAACACTGAAAGACTGAACAGGTGGCATATGCTACACCTCGTGAACAAAACAGAGTGCGCCACTATGTGGCGATTCTGGGGAAATGACCAACGCTGGGCATTTAATACAAACGCATTGCGAGGTTGAGGTAATCATTTTTTTTTTCCTCAGGAAATATATTTTTCTGAGCCTGATAAACTTGTTTTCAGGATCTGTAATGTCAGAAATTATCTACAAAATAAAAAGGATAAATTCATATAAAAGAAATACTTTCTTTTCTAACGTGTCTGAACATACCGAAAACATTCATAAAACATTTTTTTTTACATATTTAAGCAAACCTTACACGCACACCTAGAGTAAAAACAAATATGCATAATAATATAATGAATCTAAAATATACTTTTAAAATTACATGTATCAATATAATCAAAATTCTTTAGCAAGTGCCTAAAAGTTAAATTTGTTCTTTTGCCAGCATGTTGTAGTTCATCATACATTCAGTGACAGTTTATAGTGAATGTACACTAGTACTAAAGAAGCTGAAAAGCTCCAGATAACAGATCTTTCTTCCTGTGAAACGGCCATCGCTCTGTGCCATCTGGCTGCAATTCGGCTCCACACATTTGTCCCAGTGTTGCACTTTTATTTCTCGATTTGTCTTAATCCAGCACAGATGGAAAGTGGCTGTACACGTGTCATATGTAAAAGAAGCTCTCTGTAGGTGTTTCACCCATGACTGTGGTCTGCGTTTGCATCAGCACCTGTGCATCTGTAGGAGTGAAGCATCCGTCGTCAGGTGTCTCTGCATCTACCAACTGTTCTCCATCGCTCAGGGACAGTCCGCTTGCCTCGTCGTTGGTCCTGGACTTGGTGTCTATGCTTGGCGACTCTGCCTGTTTGTGCTGTTTCTCAATGTCCTGCAGCAGCTCTTCATTGCACTGCTTCCACTGACGGAACTTCTGCGATGAGAACTCAGAATCATCTAGGATCTTGTTAATCAGGTGAAGCTCCGCCTCCTTCGCCTAAGAAACACAGGCAGCCAATGACAAATGTTCAGACCTTTGTGTGCCTGACCACCTCAACCTGGCTAATTATGTAGTACTGCATACTATCCATCTATTATTGGTGATGCGAGTAGAAAATAATCCAAACAACAGTTCATGTTTGGTTGTGGTAGTGTGTGTGTGTATGTCAGTGCATGTCTGACCTTGAGTGTGCTCTGGAGGGCACGGAGTGTGTGTATCTTCTCATTGATAACAGGGTTTTTGTTCCGTTTAATGAAGGATTTACGAAGCTGGTCGTGAGTCGTTGGCTGATTCTGACCAATCAGAGACACTCCTCCTTTCTTCAGGCTATGGAACATTTCATCCATCTCATCTAATTTTCCTTGAGACATAGAGAGAATTTGTTTGTTTATCTTGACAAAGTTTCCAAAGGATTTGAAGATATAAGATATTAAGAAGCTGATAGATTTTATGCTGATCTTTTACCTGGAATTTTACTGCCCCCTGCTTGTGAAATAGTTAATGGCTCTGACATCCTGTTCTGCTTACCCTTCGTTCGAGGAAGAGTGTTTGATTGAGTTTGGGTTTTCTGTTACAAAATAAAGAGGAAAATCAGTAAACCATTTTAATTTAATTACAGCACAACGTATTCTTCTAGTCTGGATAATGGAAAATTGTCCACATTGATAATAACAAGAAATGTTTCCATGTCCGATCCAGCATATGTTTGTAATAAGAAATGTTTTCTGATCCCAAAATGATTTCTGAAGGATCACATGACACTGAAAGAGTAATGGCTGCCGAAAATTCAGCTTTCCCCTAAATTACATTTTGAAATATATTTAAACCAGACTGATCTTATTAAGTAGCGTGTGTATGACACGCCAATTCGTATTTCCATTTTTGGCGTGCTATCAAGACGCATAATCGATTTTCAGCGTGTTTATGAACGCCGTTGACTTAACGTTATTACTGTATATATAAATATATGACTTACCTCAACCCCGTCCCTAAACCTAACCGTCACTGGGGTTAATGGCATTTATTACTTTTCCCTCACCATCCTAGGAAAAAAAAGATTGCTCCCCAGATGTAGATCTATATTTTGCTTCGTTTTGCGCGGACATTTGAGGGCGTGTCCAGACACGCGGAATCACTCGGACGTTAATGGCGTAGACATACACGCGGATGCACGCGGATAGCTCAAAATGCGTAGAGATAACACGCCACTTGACTCGAAAGTGGCGTGTATGTTTACACAAAAGTCATGATGTCATGTTGATTTAAACAGAAAAGTTGTAATAATATTTCACAATATTATTTTTATGTATTTTTTCCACACAAAAAATGAAATCATGCCTGTTTTGGACCACATGAGGTTGAGTAAATGGAAAATTCCTTTAATTTTAGCTTTTATTTTATTCTTATTTGCTTTGTGCATGTATGTGAGGGCTGCATGTACAGGTACATGTCGATGTGTATTTGTGAGTGGGTGTGTCTGCGTTTATTCTCACCGTATTGAGTTTCTTCCGATGAGAAAGTGGTGAACGTGATGATTCCTCCTCAGATTCAGTTTCACTGTAACAGTCTGACAACAGAAACATCATTCATGAATCCAGCACTGACAGATTTTTTTACAATAGAATACAACACAACAGAGAAAGGTTACAAAAACAGTTGCCAGTACACTTGAGGACTAAGGAAACAAAGATAATATTCAGAAGAAGAAATAAATAAATATATATAGAAATAATAAGTTACATAAGGTGACTGATATTATCGCTGGTATTACATGGTATATATTAGTTTACTGAAATGCAATGGGGAATCAGGCAACTATGTATTGGATGAAAGGAGACCAAAGGCCTCCTCAAGTTTTGCATCAAGTTTGGTCTTTACTAATTCTATGCAAGAATGAAATCAAAATCCTCAATGACTTTATATTGAAAATGTTGCATAGAAACATAAGTATTGGCATATATAAAATGAAAAATGCGTTAACACATAATTTCCTACCTTCTTCGCTGTCTGGCTGACTTTGGACATATTTCTTGTGTTTCTGAATGGCTGCAATTAGGCAATTAATCCATCTTTTTAGAGAGAGAGAGAGAGAGAACAAAAGCAGTCAAAAATACTGATTTATCAGTGATAAATTATCACCAATCCACATGTCTCACCATCACCAGTTTCCAATTTGGACTAGAAGTGATTGTATTGTGTTGTATTGAACAGTAGGGGGCATGGGTGACGTGTGAGAGATCCTGTATGCGTAAAAACGAATGATTATGTGTGTGTGCTGTAGAAAAGAGCAATAATAGGCCGTTAAACATGAGGTGGGAGTGTTTAATAGGTTAAAGGAGTTGACATTCACATTGTCTCCAGAGCCGCAGAGCGAGACTGTTGCTCTCTGTATCTGACTCACTGCTTTACTGCAGCTCCTTAAGTGCTGCTCGAGAGGTCAAAGTCATAAGATCAACCACTGCAACTTGGCAACAGAATATCTGAACAATCGTGCCCCGTGAATAATGGACATAAATGGCATAAATCTATTCAGATGAGACCAAGTCACCTGATTGGTCTAATATTATTCTCTGGTAAATGAGTGGGGGAGTGATGCATGATAGTTAATATAACATCATATCATTGGCTCTATTATTAGAGGTATGAAGCACCTGAGCTTGACTGGTCATTGGACAAATCATGCAGTGTGAAAGAGAGCACCAATCTGTAGTGCTATTACATAAGATTCTCAGGCCTGAATCACTGCAGAGGTGCCATGCAGTGGCTGTTGAATTATTTGATCAACGCTATAAAAGTAAACTAAGAGGTTCTTTACACAAACTATGTTTTTAAAGAACAAATACAAGCTTTTTCCGCTTAATCACTGTATTATATTCAATTATATTAATGGTGAAATGTGGAATTTCAGGTTTTCAAATATGTTTCCCAAAAAATCGTACTGTCCCCTTCGCCCTGTTTAAAACGTATAATTCTATCATTTTTTATTTATTTATTAGCTAGTAGACTAAGTTGTTTGCTTGTAAGCCATATATTTCTTTGAATTCCCCACTCAGTGGTTACACTTTTGTTAAGTCAATCTCTGAATTACTTATTACACTTGGCTATGAGTGTTAAACCTTAAATGATTTTCACATGACAGAAGTAACAATCCCACATTTAAAAATATAGTGTCATTGCATCTAACACCTCTATACTGAACAAAATATAAACGCTTTTATTTTTGCCCCCATTTTTCATGAGCTGAACTCAAAGATCGAAGACTTTTTCTATGCACACAAAAGGCCTATTTCTCTCAAATATTGTTCACAAATCTGTCTAAATCTGTGTTAAGGCGGGCATACACTGTGCAATGTCTGTGCAATTTCAGCACGGTACCCACTGAACGAGTAAATCGCATGCGATGCAAAGCCAAAGTTTGGGATTTTTGTGCTCACACAATACGGTCCAATCATCGAGCTGCGACCTCACTGCTCACACTATACGTGTGAAATATCTGCGATAACCCCCTGGATTGCACCTATAGATGATATGTATCCAGAGATATTGTCAAAACAAACATCAGCTATCAATATCAAGATGATTTAGCATTTCCAATTTATGCATTAAATTATTATTAGCGTTACTGTATTATCATTAATAAGGGAGGCCTAGGCTAATTTTATTATTAAATTGATCCGCTATTATAATTAATTTACCACGCAATAATTTCACAGCACATAACCAACGTGCTGTGAGGAAAATAAAATATTACATAAAAGCTTACTCCTCATTGAAAATTGTCTAAAACATTTTGGTCGATTACAATGAATTATAGGCATATAGATAACTATTAACAGTTTATAATATGTCCGAAAATTATTGCAATGATTAATCATCAATGAAAATTTTTTAAGTTTAAGAAATTAATAAAAGAGGCGTTACATTGCAGTTGGCTTGGAAGACTTGGGTAATATATGGTTAATTCATTTTGCAACACAAACTGGAGGGAAGCAAAAGTAATTTGTTGCTAGTTTGAACTACAGAACTTAAAGATCTCCCTCTTTTCGTTTTTATTTTATTAAAATTTTACATTTTATTGTGGCCAGCCTAAGCCCTGCACAATAAACATACTGTCTAATTAGCATGTTGATATGTCACACCTATGAGTTGGATGGATTATCTCGGCAAAGCACTCACAGATTTAGACAGATTTGTGAACAATATTTGAGAGAAATTGGCCTTTTGTGTACATAGAAAAAGTCTTAGATCTTTGCGTTCAGCTCATGAAAAATGGGGGCAAAAACAAAAGTGTTGCGTTTATAATTTTGTTCAGTGTATTTCAATTCAAAGATGCACAGTCATTTGCACATGAATATAAACTGCTGGTGCACAGCAAGATCTAATCATTGTGACATTTCGCTACTCGACTTGTACAAAATGCTCTTCAAGGCAAAACTGTTGTTTAGACAAAATGCTTGTTTATATGCAGCCAGACTCACTTGCTCATGTCGTTTACATTATCAGCAGCGAAGAAAAAATTCTGGAAGCGCTGGTGGCGCATTTGAAATACGCTAGGAGAAAAAGAGAAAGAGATCAGATGACAATAACCATTCATCTAAGGGCAGAAGCTTTAGCAGCTTAATGAAAACTCATTTGTCATCATGGTAGCAGGCTGTGCTGTACAGTCTATGTGGACTGCGGGGGAAGATCTGAGGAATGTAAAGTGTAATTTTGTTATTCACACATCTCCAGCTAACTGCCCTCCTGTGCCAGATACTCTCACTCTCACAGCCAACCACAAACACAGAGTCCGAGGAGCCGGACGACTTCTGTTTCTTTATGGTAGTGAGAACACAAACAATAATGCTGAACAGGGTTTAATTTTGTTAAAGGAGAACTCTGGTGCAAAATGAACCTTTGGTCTAATAACACATTGGTACCTAGCGTTAAAACGTTTTTAGAGATAAAACTCTTTACATTCGATTATCATGAAAACAAATCTCAGAGAACGGTTGATTAGGTACAGATGTGTTATTAGACCAAATGTTCATTTTGTCAATAGATATGCTTTGATTGAGCAGCAAATAATGAATGAGTAAACCAATGCCAGCATGTTTTGTATAGTGCAGAAGATACTCACTACTTCCTCTTGTGTTCTCCTGCGCTCTCTATATTGTAGCTGCCGATCTTGATTAAGCCCTCCGCCTTCTCCTCCTGCACAAAGAAAAGGGTTTAATAATTATTTGGTTAGGTACATCTAAATTAACTGATTTTGTACAAAATAGAGGTACAAAGATATTAAAATTCTGAAACTGATAACTAGTGTAATTTAGTTAGCGATATTAAAGTTCTACAGCCTTTTGTCACAGCAAATTAAAAGTGATAAATAGTTCCACAAAAATGAAAATTCTGTCTTAATTTACTCACTCCCATCAAACTCCTTACAAACCTGTATGCTTTTTTTTCTTCTACATAACATATAAGTAGATATTTTGAAGAATGCTGGTAAACAGTTGTGGTTCCAAGTGACTTCCATTGTGTGTGTGTGTGTGTGTGTGTGTGTGTGTTTGGGGGGGGGGAGTGATACAATGGAAGTCAATAGGAACCTAAACAGTTTTTTATGCCAATATTCTTCAAATGATCTTCTTTCATGTTCCATAGAAGAACGAACGTCAAAGTTTTAGAATGACATGAGAGTTAGTAAACGACAGCCTTTTCATTTTTCCCTTCAAAAACAAAACTGTTGAAAATAAAGAAAAAAATGTAAATGCAACAAGTTAATGTTGGCATCACAACATTATAATGTACAGTAGGAAGAATGAATATTCAGATTATATTTAACACTGTTATTAAAGAGTGTTACAATATCCAATATTGGCTAAATAAAAAAAAAAATCTAATATCACCCAATATTCTAAAGATAAAGGAGAGTTTAGTTTTAGAAAAACTTTTTTAATATAATACGTTACTTGTGTTTATAACGTGCCAATTTGTGTTTCCACTTATAAGTTTAATTGTAATTCAACCACTTTACAAGTAAACTCATACTAACCTGTTGGCTGGTATACCAATACAGCGTAGGACCTTTCAGGACAAACCAAAATCTCTGCCATTTTTGAGTCATGAAGACATTTGCTTCTTTTCTCTTTTTCCAGAGCCAACCGTCACAGTCTGGCCGGCCAAGTTCACGACAGGACACCCTCCTGCGGCTCATCGCTGTCCGTGTTCCTTATGTATGCACACGAATCAGGTTAGATTTATTATTTTGTAATAGATGAAATTAAAAAAATATATATAAATAGTGAATGTACAAGTCCTTGCCTGACCTTTAGTAGAGACCTTCTTGTTCTCCTTTTCCTCCTGTGGTTAGAAGAAATGTAGCATTACTCTGAGATCACATGGTTAAAAGAACATCAACTTCTGCTGATGTCATCCCAGTTGCCGCATTAAAACACTTTATTGTGAGATGCCACAGCAGATGCTTCTCAATGACTCACGATGCACTCGAGTGTACCATGCTCAAGGGCGACAAATCATTATAGTATCTCTCCAAAATACATCTTGCTCTTTAACAAGGAGAAAGAACAAAGTGCACTGAATTGGATGTCACACCAACTGAATGTATCTTTAGTGTTCTTACTCTTAGTCCTGCCATGTCAGGACAGGAGCTGGTGCTGGCTCGTTTGAGCTCCTGGTCTTGTGGGGACGGACTTCTTTCTGCAGATGAACTGACTTCCAAACTGTTTCGACTCACACGCTGAGAGTCTATAGGTGTGAAGACAGAATTACATTTATCTTATAGAGCTTATAAGCTGCAGATGCAGCTTCAAATGTATAGTCTTTAATAAGGAACAATTATGTTTAAAAAATGTAATGGGGGCTGATGTCTTCAGTGTTTTTGTTCAATTTTACCTGGCCCTGGCCGGTGGTGTTTTAAGGTGATTGACTGATGTTCATCAGAGCTTTGATTACTAGAGAGCGCTGATTTTTCCCGTTTGAAATGTGTGCTGTCTGATGCTGATCTACTGTATGGTACATAAACACACACACACACACATTATATATGATTGCATATGACACTAAAAAGAAAAACATTAATCTAAGTGGCCCTTTGCAATGCTATTATACAGATGCAGCTTTAATTCTATGAAAGCTGACCCAAACGCACACATACTGTACTAGTTTAGCCATGCTGTACACAGACACACACACAGAGAGAGACCTGAGATAGCGGAGTGCTCGTATGTCCTCACAGTAGCTTACAGAAAAGAGTTATGAAACAAGAATTTAGTTTATGAAACACACAGGCAGAGGAATGGAGACTTTCACTTCTTATACAATTAACTGAATACATGACATGAACTAACCACACCTGTATTATCTTATAGCTGTATATTACTGCTGTATGGAAATTACAGAATGAATTATCAGAAACTGATAACAGAAAACCTCTTAAAATTGTAACACTGAAACAAGCATTTTCTGTAAAGCTGTTTTAGAAACAATACCCCAATTTCACAGACGAGGCTTAAGTCTAGTCCCAAACTAAAAGGCATTTTTGAGCTGTTTTAACTAAAAGAAACTCGCAATAACATATCTTAAAATATGTCAATGTCATTGTTTTGTCTCAAGATGCACACCAGTTATGTTGTGAACTAAGGCCTAATCCTGGCTTAATCTAAACCCTGTCTGTGAAACCAGGCCAATATATATATATATATATATATAGTGAAAAGTGCTTTACAAATAAACTTGAATTGAATTGAATTAAATTGATTACACAGTAAGTTTGCTAAAAAATAGAAAAATTATGGAAAACACAGAATCCATAGAAAGCATCATGGATTATCTGAGAGAAGCAGACAAAACTATGTCCTACCACATTGTAAAACCTATAGCTACTATAATTTATTTTCCTCAATATTTGAACAACAAGTTATGGGAGACTTGAAATGGTTCTATAGACCCTGTAATCATGCAAATTTAGTATCAGAAACGGCAGCATATAGTGATTATAGAAGCGTCAGAGGAAATTCAGCATCAGAAACGGCAGTATGTAGTGATTATAGAAGCGTCAGAGGAAATTCAGCATCAGAAACGGCAGTATGTAGTGATTATAGAAGCGTTAGAGGAAATTCAGCATCAGAAACGGCAGTATGTAGTGAGTGATTATAGAAGCGTCAGAGGAAATTTAGCATCAGAAACAGCAGCACATAGTGATTATACTGTAGGTGCGTCAGAGGAAATTCAGCATCAGAAACAGCAGCATATACTGATTATAGAAGCGTCAGAGGAAATTCAGCATTAGAAACAGCAGCATACAGTGATTATAGGAGTGTCAGAGGAAATTCAGCATCAGAAACAGCAGCATATAGTGATTATAGAAGCGTCAGAGGAAATTCAGCATCAGAAACAGAAGCATACAGTGATTATAGAAGCGTCAGAGGAAATTCAGCATCAGAAACAGCAGCATATAGTGATTAGAAGCGTCAGAGGAAATTCAGCATCAGAAACAGAAGCATATAGTGATTGTAGAAGTGTCAGAGGAAATTCAGCATCAGAAACAGCAGCATATAGTGATTATAGAAGCGTTAGAGGAAATTCAGCATCAGAAACAGCAGCATATAGTGATTATAGAAGCGTCAGAGGAAATTCAGCATCAGAAACAGAAGCATATAGTGATTATAGAAGCGTCAGAGGAAATTCAGCAGCAGAAACAGAAGCATACAGTGATTATAGAAGCGTCAGAGGAAATTCAGCATCAGAAACAGCAGCATATAGTGATTATAGAAGCGTTAGAGGAAATTCAGCATCAGAAACAGCAGCATATAGTGATTATAGAAGCGTCAGAGGAAATTCAGCAGCAGAAACAGAAGCATACAGTGATTATAGAAGCGTCAGAGGAAATTCAGCAGCAGAAACAGCAGCATATAGAGATTATAGAAGCGTCAGAGGAAATTCAGCAGCAGAAACAGAAGCATATACTGATTATAGAAGCGTCAGAGGAAATTCAGCATTAGAAACAGCAGCATACAGTGATTATAGGAGTGTCAGAGGAAATTCAGCATCAGAAACAGCAGCATATAGTGATTATAGAAGCGTCAGAGGAAATTCAGCATCAGAAACAGAAGCATACAGTGATTATAGAAGCGTCAGAGGAAATTCAGCATCAGAAACAGAAGCATATAGTGATTGTAGAAGCAGAGGAAATTCAGCATCAGAAACAGCAGCATATAGTGATTATAGAAGCGTTAGAGGAAATTCAGCATCAGAAACAGCAGCATATAGTGATTATAGAAGCGTCAGAGGAAATTCAGCATCAGAAACAGAAGCATACAGTGATTATAGAAGCGTCAAAGGAAATTCAGCAGCAGAAACAGCAGCATATAGTGATTATAGAAGCGTCAGAGGAAATTCAGCATCAGAAACAGCAGCATATAGTGATTATAGAAGCGTTAGAGGAAATTCAGCATCAGAAACAGCAGCATATAGTGATTATAGAAGCGTCAGAGGAAATTCAGCAGCAGAAACAGAAGCATACAGTGATTATAGAAGCGTCAGAGGAAATTCAGCAGCAGAAACAGCAGCATATAGTGATTATAGAAGCGTCAGAGGAAATTCAGCAGCAGAAACAGAAGCATATAGTGATTATAGAAGCGTTAGAGGAAATTCAGCATCAGAAACAGCAGCATATAGTGATTATAGAAGCGTCAGAGGAAATTCAGCATCAGAAACAGCAGCATATAGTGATTATAGAAGCGTCAGAGGAAATTCAGCATCAGAAACAGCAGCATATAGTGATTATAGAAGCGTCAGAGGAAATTCAGCATCAGAAACAGAAGCATATAGTGATTATAGAAGCGTCAGAGGAAATTCAGCATCAGAAACAGAAGCATATAGTGATTATAGAAGCGTCAGAGGAAATTCAGCTAAGACAGTCAAACTCACCTGAAGGACAGAGTTCGGACTGAAGCTGCCACCCTCCCAAAAAGAGAATGTCTGTTTTTCTCTTCCTCTTCTTCCTCTTCCTCCTCTCTCTGAAAGTAAAGAATCGATGAGATTTACATTTGGAAAAACCCAATGTCACCTCAGATAGTGACTCCTCTCATGTGGCAAGTTTTTTTTTTTTATTGTGGCGAGACATGTAGATGTGTGACAATGAGTTCATGTGTACGTTCATGTCTTGTGAATGATCATGATCATGGTTAGTTTGTGGCAGGCATTAGTACATTTATGTGTCCATTTCCAGTTAGACTGTGCAAGTGCCTTTGTTTGTGTGTGGGTTTATAAAGAAATACACTGAGGACAAAATTGTTTATAGAAATCATTATTATTATTTTAAGCTTATTATTTAGCTTTAGACTTCATAACAACAATAGATGGATGTCTATGTGTCCTTATTTAAAAGTCTAAGTGTTGGGGTTATTATTGTTAACTAGAACAAAAAGTAAAACCATAAAAAAGTATTACTTGAAATAAAATAAATATTAACCGAAATAAAATCAATTATATAGAAAAATGTTGTCAAGGCAACATTTCTATTTTCTTAAGTTGAAATTCTAAAATAACGTTTAGTACATTTAGTACGCATATTTTTAAGTTGAAATACTAAAGTAAAAATTGTTTTACTCAAAACATTCTTAAAATGAAAACAGAAATAAAAATAAAATGTAATAAAATTAAAACTATTATAGTATACAAATAATAATAAATTAACACTGGAATGTGTTTGATAGCTCATAAAGTGATTGTGTCCGAATTTATCAGTAAGAAATGGGTCTTGATGCAATTTACATTTTTCATTTGCATCAAACTTTGAGCATTCTTTGAAATCAAAATCTTCCAAATCTGTGTGTGTGTGTGTAATATCAGGAGGGTAGGGAGAGGGAAGGAACTAGGAAGTCACTGCTGTCATGACGATGCACTCAATAAACAAGTTCAAATGAAAATCTGATGGTTTATTTCATTTGAAAACATTTATTGTAAGTGTGTATGTGTGAGAGAATGTGCATTCATGTCACAAAGAGGAAATGTGCTCATCGAACAAACACAACCACGTGTGAACATGTGATGTCAATAAATATGTTGCAAAGCAACCACTAAAAGAGTCAACAGTGTAAAACGCTGGCAGCTCCTCATATGAGACTCATGTGTTTATTTCAAGCTTATTATTAACAAACATATTCAGTTTTTGTTTAGACAAACAGCCATACCTAATAAATGCAATACAAAAAACCCACAAAAAATGTTTATAAACCCGATCCAAATCGCAATTGGTCTGAAATCTGTTCGTTTTTTAAAAATGTTTGTCATTAAAACTACCTGAATGCCAGGTAGTTTATCTCATCATTTCACTTTTTATGTCATAACAATGTTTTTTTTTTTTTGTCAAAAATTCAACTTTTTATGTCATAATTATGATTTGGGTTCAGTCCTAAAGATCGGATTTGGTAACCAAATAAAATATGAGTCCCAGTGTAAACAAAGCTGAAACAACCCTAAAGCATTTTAAAAAAACGTATTCGAGAGTCATTGAGCAAAATTGCCCGTTTAAAATTTTTATTTTAATGTATGCATTTATAGTAAAAGGATGGATGAGTCTCTGTAGTACCTCAGACTTTGCTTGGCTCTCTTTGCGTTTCAGGAAACCCGGAAGCCTCCTCAAAACCAGAGTTACTCCATTTGGATTCTCCTCCAGTTTTTTAACAAGGTTTGCCCTGCTCCAGCCAACCTGGAATTAAATTGATCATTTAAATTGCGTTAAATAAACGTACATCCAAAATGGAGGTTCTTTTGCACCTAATGCTTGATGCGGCACCTTTCTATGGGTTATTTTCAGAAAACTGCTAGATTTATTTATTCATTTCATTTGAAAAAGTTAAACCTTTTTCAAAACATTTTGCCAACCCTGTTACATTCAGAATGTTTCAGTGTTTAATATCAAGAAGCATCAATGTTTGTCTTTCTTCTAGTGTGCCTATCAGTGATAATAGGGCATTGGGCCACAAAATAAAGATAATCCAATTTATTGGCAAATCCAGCGGGGAGGTCATCAAATGGACGGATGAGTCTCACTTTGCTAACCCAGAGTTCAGCCCCTCACATAAAACTCTGTCAAATTTCCTTCCTTACTTCATGTAAATAACATTTTACTATTATTTAGTACAGTTATCATTAGCATTGAACAGTTCCTACTTACTACTATCTGTCCGTTGACCTGAATGACCTCATCTCCCGCTAAAATCTTCTCGCAGATCTCTGTAGGAGACTGTAACACAGAATTTATGATTATGTACAACAACAGACGATGTACAACAGAATATATCGGTGCCAAAAACTGAAATGCGTTGAAGGAACCACCCACAAACAGAAGCTTTTGAAACAAAGTGCATTTAGTATGTAAAAAAACATCTTTAAGGTCGGATGACTAATTATTTTAAATAATAGTCTAGGTTAAAAAACTGTTTAACTGTTTAAAGTTGAGTGAGTGAGTGATTAAATGTGCCTCTTTTCTGAATCCAATAAATTTAAAATGAAACTAAAGGAAATTACATAACCTCCCTCTTTCCCCATTTCTGTCCATAAGGCAGTTTAATTTGAAGCATAGATTTCTCTTATTATATATGAAAGAAGAAATATATATATATATATATATATATATATATATATATATATATATATATCACTCAAGATACTTATTTTAAGACAACTGTTAAACTAGCCCACTATTTTACAGGAAGAAAGTTTCAGTCACACTGTTCTGAGAATCAAGTTTGACTGACATACTGTATATGTCGATTAATTTACGGGATCATTGACAGCAAACTTCAAAAACACCCTCACGTATCTCCCAGCAGACAATTTAAGCGGGATATTAGCTAGAAAAACACGAATTGTCTACCAAAACAAATTAAAAATGCTACTTTTTCCATCTTCTAAAATATATGAAGCGCTGGGGTATCATCAACCTGTCCTACCTCAGCTGCTGTTCCAGTGACAAAATGATTTCTGGATCCTGTGGTGGTGATCTCAATTCCCTATGTGAAAGAAATAATGTGCATATCAAGCCAAGATTATCTTAGACCTCAGCTAAACTACAAATAAATGGCTTATATAAAAGAGATGAAAATCCGGGCTGCTAATTGGTCTGTGAACCCTGCAGATCCGCTATAATATTTAGCCTTCCTGCCATCTAGATCAGCGAGCATTATGGTAAGAAATTCAAAGGGAGAACTGAGGGAGCTTGTTCAAACCGGCACTGGTCAATGAATCAACTGCAGTATCAGACGTTAGGCAAAGTCTGATCTAAATAGTATTGATTCTGCTGAAAATGGGCTGAGAGTCTCCAGCTTAAGAGACAATATACCAAGTGTTTGGGGGTTTGGTGGCAACCTCTATTATCTGTCAGATCAATAATAATCAGTTATTACATTATGTCCAACTATTATATTCTCAGACTCTTGAAGCATGCAGGCCAAATATATTAAAATATGGACCTAATGAGTCTTCCAACAATATTGCTCCTGGAAACAGCAGAGGCAGGTTTTCTTGGCAAGAATCACAGACATGCCTTTGATATTAAAGTACAATGTACTAAGCAGTGTAAAAAACAAAAAGTGTTATTTGATTTCCTCAAATGGTTTGTGGATGACTGCCAATGTAATCATGCATGTTGCATTGTGTGTTTATGTCTGATATGAAGACACACACACACAATATAAATGCCCAAAATCAAATTTAAATATGTCAAACATGACAAAAGACTACGTGAGCCTTTATTACTAATCAAGTTTCTCAGAGTATGGGTGTTCTTAATTGAACTGTGGTAAATGTAAACCAATTATATGATTTTTAATTGCACAATCTATCAGACGCCTCACAGAAAAGCTTCTCTTTTGTGGAGCTGCTTAGTGTAGTTAAGGTACAGAAAGGAAGAGCTTTACATAATCAAACAACATTTTAGCAACATATTAGCTGAATATAATACAAAGTGCAAGGAATGTCTGGGTAGAAATGATTGATTAACACGGTTTAATGAAAGTGATAAAACAGACACAGCGCAGAAAGAAGATGCGATTGGTTTAAACTCCATCTGTACCTCTATACTGGTTAGTTCTTTAACATTTGCCAAACTAAGAAATAAATTTAACAGCAGCAAAGTTTCTAAATAAATTATGAACCTAGAAAATTACTTTTATTGCTGGAAGCCAGAGTAAAACAGGGAAGCGAACTGGACAACATAGAGGATGAAACGGAGAATAAATGAATTACTGTAAATAATTTGAGTTATAAATGATGCGATGCATTACCACGTGATCTCCAGGTGAGGCAGGGACCAGTTCAACACTCTCCAGCTGTGCAGTATGGGTAAGAAGAGTAAATGGACTAACAGTCAAAATCTCATCACACACTGATACCAACTGACGACACTAGACGGAAAGACAGAAAAAGAAAAACACGTCAGTTTAACAGAAGATGGATCATTTCTTCTAAAGTAATGAATATAATCCTACATAGAATTGGACTTCAGAGAGTTATATTTTCATGTCACAAAGTACACTACTGTCTAAAATTTGGGGTCAGCAAGAACACATTAAATTGATCAACAGTGACAGGCATTTGTAATGTTTCAAAAGATTTCTATTTCAAATCAATGCTGTTTCATTTAAACCTTTTACAGTATTCAAAGGATCCTAAAATAATTTCCTTGGTGAGAAGTGAAAAGAAAGAGACTTTCAAAAACATAAAAATACATCGCGACCCCAAACTTTTGAACAACAGTGTTGTTAATATAATATAATAAGGAATGTCCCAGGCTCAATACAAGTTAAGCCTTATCAACAGCATCTGTGACTTTTGTTTAGAACAGTAAATAACTATACCACATTTTTAAAAGTGCTATAACAAAAATTCAATATGCGCATTTGCTCTTTCATTGTAATCTCATTACACTAAACTATTTTTGTGAGTAAAAATTACTTTCTGTGGTAAATGAAAGCATACCACAGAATCTGAAGTGTGTAATTTCTGTGCCACTACTATTCACATGATCACTATGATAAGCATTACATTTGTAAACAAACAAAAATATAAAGATATATTTATTAAAATATTTAAAGTAGGGCTGTCAAAATGATTAATCGCATATAACATAAAAGTTGTGTTTACACACACGTATATGTATGTATGTATGTGTATATATATATATATATATATATATATATATACACACACACATACAGTATATTACATAAACAAACCTTTATGTTAGATGCGATTAATCGATTTGACAGCATTCAAATAAAGATAAAGAAAACCTTCATATTAATTCAAAGGGTCAAGAGACATGCGGAAAGTAAGAGTGAATTCAGAAGACCCATGATCTCTTACTATGGAGATGATGTCCTTCTCCTTTTCAAACACAGCGGTTTCCTACAGGGAAGAGAGAGAGAAAATAGAGAACATTTACTAAAAATGCAAGTGCTTCCTCCCACTGAGAAGTTTGATGCACAATCTAGAGATCTACAAACAGAGTTCATCTAACCCACTCACTCCTTGGCCGATTCATCTCGTTCAGCCCTCTCAATATAACACTTCCTTAAACAGAGTAACGCACCACACAGCCAACAACCCTCAGACCATTGAATCCACAAGCAGAACTAAGAACAAGATTACATACACACTCTCATGCGTAATACCTGGAACATGTAGATCATAGTCTACTTAAAGGATTATGGTGGCCGCTTAGGATCGGTGGCAAGCAGACACACTGATGCGGCAAATCTTATATAACATCCCTAAAGATAAACATTGAATCCCAGACCACTAACAGATTCACTTCAGACAATATACAACTCACTCAATAAGGGCTCGCTATATCCAACCTCAGATCTGATTGAATTGGCTGAATGTTTTCAGTTAGTCCATCTGAGGCATAAAAGTATACAGTATACTTACTGGACTCAGGTGTGTGAGAGAGAGGATATGACAAGGCACGCAGCTGAATAAATTTGACGTTGTCACATAACGACGTGACAATGATCACTCACTTCTCGTTATATTAAACAAGTGTGTCACTTCCTCTCCTGACAGAGCGACAAAGTCATAATGTAAAATAACATCAGGTGGATACAGATTCAGAGAAGTAAAAAAAGATGGATGGATGGATGGAAAATTAATGGTCATGTAATTTAGTATAATATCTTCAATATTCACACCCTGCCAAAGAAAACTACCAAAGTGTCTTTTTACAGGTCATTATGGTAAAGTTCAAGCACAGGTCAGTATACAGAAGTGCAGAGAAGACCAACGGCCAAGTTCAAGAATTTCATTAAATACTACATTAAATTTCAGTTTGTTTTTCAATAAATCCATATATCCCCAGAACACTTGGAATATCCGGCTTGGGTCTCATGGGATTATTCTGTGATGCCTTTAACATCTTTTTTTTTTTTAAAAGCTTGATGCTGGTTGCCATTTACTGGTATTATATGGACTAAGTCCTTTTCTGGTCCATAAACTAAATAAGGGCCTATGGAATTAGAACAACACCAGGGTCATATAATGGTACATGCACTTTTACAAGTTAATTGTACTGAAATGTGTGTTGGCAGTGCCTGTACACAACCATCATATAATGATAAAAATCCATCCAGTGTTTTTGTTTTAATCTCCTTATATGTTTTCCCCTGCCTCAAATCGAGCCGTTCGACGTCACACGGTCGGACGCCCCTCCCACAATTGTTGATTGACGGAAGCGTTTCAACTCAGCCGTGCCCTGAGCGAGCTGTCATCATAGTCCGCCATTTTTGATACACTGGAGCAGAATGCCGTCTAGAAAGTGATTGTGGTGTTGTGGTGTTCTGTTCTTGGGTGTAATAACGAACAGTCATTTTGATGTTCCTAAATATGAACCGCTGAAGACGCAGTGGCTGAGATTTGTTTTCGAAGGGAATATTCCCCACGAGCAACATCACTGATTTTATGTTTGCGCGAATCCTTTTTCGCCAGACTGCTTTATAGACGAGGGTCAGTAAGAAGCTGCTCCTAAAAAAAGAATCGGTAGCAACAATTTGTGTCCTCACTGCACCTCCAGAAGAAGTGAGTGTAAAGTTTTATTAACCTTTATATTAATCTTTTCAAATCACGAAAAAAGTTTTTCATGACCATTAGTTGTAATGTCAATCTGTCAATGAACTAACGTATACATCAGTAAACACATAGCTGTTTTTTGACCAGGTAAAAATCTGTTTTATTAAAATACTAATGAGAATTTTTAATTACAAAGTTTTCATTTAGACCCTTAACATTCATATTAACTTGTACAAAAATCACATTATATGACCCTTTAAGGTGAACTATTCCTCTAAACCCTTTTGTATAATCAACTGCAAGCTCACATTTAGATCTGCCTCCATTTTTGAGTGCAACGTCCACAATTCAAAAACCAATAGTAGTACCCACCCTTCATTTTTTTCCTGATAATACATTTCACCTATGTACATCACAATATGGAAGACGAGCTGTTGCTACTTCTGTTTCTGAATCGCTACTTGAATTGAGATGAGGAGAGATTACGTCTCTACTTGCCCTTGCTTAATTTAATTTCTTTTCCCCTTTCTCTAAATTTAATTTTATTGAATTGATTTATTCATATTTATTTTTTAAATCAATCTAGATATTTTGGCTTTTGATATTTTCTGAGCAAATGTAATACTGAAAACTAAATTTGAAAACTCAGAAAAGGAGTGAAAATGAGAGACATCTGAGACACACCTGATATTCATTGTCGCCCCAGAGTTTTCCTTGTCTTTTAGCTCTATTGAGGCTGACATCCTCACACAAAAGAGCTTCATTCAGCTCAAAAGCTTTTACCTTGTTTTCTTCTAGTTCTCAACAAAGCTCCTCATTTCACATTGATAATGATCATTAACTCTATAGAGAACTTCCTTCAGTGATAAAACACAGGTCAGCTGTTGTCTCCCCTTTCTACTGTATATCTTCCTCTCCCTCTCCTTTTCTATGTTTTACTGCAGCTGCATACACAATGACAAAAATGGAGCAGACCAAACTATATAAATGCTTCCGTCTCTAGGCAGAGACAAACCGCTAAATCAAATGTTCTAGTAAGGGGTCACAGTCTCCAGGCCAGCAGACCTAGAGATACTAAAAAAAGATCTGCCTCACATCCTGCATGGATTCATTTACACCTCTCCAAGGCATAAACAACACACATGCTTGATTTCCCATCATGGTGGGAACTTTCCATTGAGCTGATGAGATTCTATGCCCCTATAACTAAAACCTAACTCTTAGAGAAACCTTTATACATTTTAATATTGTCAATAAGGCATTTTAGAATGTTTCTTAAGCTTACATTCCATACTGTATGTAAGCATTCCATTACTGTACTCTGCTTCGCGTCGTGCCAAACAACACCCTTCAGCCGTTACTTATTGCTCAAGTATTGCTTTTATAAAACAGTTACCACACAATAAAAATATTAAAGTAAAAAAAATATCTATTAGAGCAACTTACTTTCATGAAGTAAAATCGCTAAAACCCTTCCATCCTCTAGAAAAAAAATGTGTTCCTGACCGTGAACAGCAACAACATTCCATTGTGTATGAAAGCGCAAATAAAAACAACATGCAGTGATAAATAGAACCGTTGGGTGAAGCGGTCATAGCCGTGTTTTATCATGAATAAAGCACAGCTATTGACCAATAAGAATCAAGGATTGGAACTAACCGTTTTACAATACCTTCTAAAACTCAATGACACTTTAAAATTCAATGACACAGACTGTTTATTAAATAAAACAACCATTTCCTCTAAGCACAAACCAGCAAATATTATACTTCAGATGTGAATGTTCAGGGAAAAAGTATTCAGGGTAAAAAAGATAAAAGAAGCACACACAATATCTAATCGATGTGACCTTTTCTTCTTAATCCACTGATGTGTTATTTCAGTACAATGTGTGTGTGTGTGAATCTCATTTTAAACCCTCTGCCTTCCCCCCGCCTCTTATCTCTCTTTTAATTAATCTGTCTTTCACTCCTTCACCTCTCCTTATTTTTAAGTTCATTACTCCTCTCTCTCTATCTCGATAAAGTCATCAGCTGACTGCCAATTATTCCACTCCCGGGGTAAACGCACCAAAACTTGCATAGATGCAACTATATCTCTGACTAAAAGAGCTTTTCTTCATATCTGGGTTATCCCTGGAGTCACTGAATATTTGTTCATCTGTTCATCAAAAAACAGCACTCAACACCAGTGAGCAAGACACAGTCATCCATGTATGACACACATTAGTATTACCAGACAGTTTTACTTGACATGGTGAAACTTTGGCTTCAGGTGACGTGGTTTCTATGAAGATTAGAAGCCCACCTGTCCCCAAACACCTGTTCTTACACTCACCTTCATGGTTTAAATGTCACAGACTTATTAAAATGTAAGTGAACACTCCATTCCCAGAAACCTTTAGACTTAAAATCCCACTGTAATTATTAATAGAGACTGGAGTGGTCTGGCCTCAGTCAGATGTGATCTGTTTTGAGTCCATATGTCATTATTTAATATATAACCTACACAAAAAGTTTATCCTTATGCAATGAAACATATATGGGGTCATGTATGTATATTGCACTTTCTAATTGAACACTTACATTACATATATAATATAATATATGAAAGTATTATTTATATATGCACTACTGTTTAAAAGTTTTTTTAAAGAAATTAATAGTTTTATTCAACAAGAATGCATTAAACTTATCAAAACTCTAAGCATTTATAATGGTACAAGATTATATTTCAAAGAAATGTATTTTCAATTAGTAATCAAAGTAAAATAATAATAAACATAAATAAACATATCTTGATTTCCACAAAACTATTAGGCAGCACAAATGATTTCAACATTGCTTATAATAGGAAATGTTTCTTGAGCACCAAATCAGCATATTAGAAGGATTTCTGTTACATTTTTTATCAAATACATGCAGTGTTGTTGACCAAAAACATTAAAAAGTATAGTATCAGTATATCAAATTTGTATTTTCACAGTTTGTCTCAGAATGTTGGACCCCACTGTATGTGAGAATGATCATGTAAGGATTAGTGACCCAGAGAACAGCCCTCAGTTTGTACATTAACTCTTCTTTTACTGCTACCATCCTTACATTAAGAAGTTACTGATTGCTGCCCAAGAAAGCATTTGCGCATATAATAAACACAGAATATGGTTTGTAGTGTAAACAGGAAGTATACAAACAATGCACTTAAATTAGAAAAGATACCATCAGCTTTAGGAAAACGAACTCAGCGACAAAACTTCACGAGAGAGAAAACAACTAGGCCTAGTGATTTACAATGTGTGTGTGTGTGTGTGTGTTTGTTACAGCTGACAGAATGGAGATGATAGCATCAAGTGTCAACATACTTAGTGTGCACATTGCACATTGTTTCTCCATACACACACACACACACACACACACACACTTAGCTTCTTTCTCATTTCCACACTTTCCTTCCCCTCCTTAGCAATGCTGTTTGCTTTCAGAGTAGAAGACTGAGTCACATCATCAACGATTCAAAACCTTTTAGTTACACAAACAGCACCAAAAAGTCCTTGAAACTTTAAAAAGAACAAGAACGCTGCAAGAAACATGGAGCAAATGGTTCAGATGCCTTTCGAATGACAAAGCAAACACAAATCTTGAAATAGATGCTATCTGATTTCCAACGACACTGATATGTTTTACCATTAGTATATCTGTTCGTGTGGCACTGTATGCACCCAAGTAAACTGTAAGGCTGTTAAACTTGTGAAACTTTCCAGGTAAAAGTATATGAGAAATGAGAATAAAATAAGCAATCAAAACCTATTGAAGTATAAAATTGTCAATAGACAACAAACCTAATATTCCAAATCCAGATGAAAGACTCTTCTGGTGGAGTGAATATCATGTGACCTCTTCTTCTGTACGCTCACCACAGGTGAATAACACACGACCAAAAGATCTTTCAGTTCTCTTTTAATGCTCCTCCCCTCTCCCCCTCCCCCTCCTTCTCTCTCTCTCTCCCTCTCTCTCTCTCTCTCTCTCTCTCTCTCTCTCTCAGAATTCTTGAGGCTATACACTGTAAAAAATATTTTCAAGATTTGTAATCACAACATTTTTTTCTTTTGTCAAATCAATTTAAATAATTTATTTAGTTCAGATAACTTATTATTTTGAGTTTCTGATGATTAAATCTCCTTGATTGTATTAACTCACTTTTTCCAGTTCAACTTAAAAAAATTAAGTAACCTGGTTGCCTTAAAATTTTAAGTTAAATCAACAATATTTTTTAAAGTGTAGTGAATACACATAATGAAAAAATTTTGTTTGTCAGTTTTTTTCTGAATATCAGTCATGAAGCAAACAAGCAAAGCAATTATTGGACATGCATCTCCAAAAATATGAGGGTTAGCACGCTGCACAAATAGTACCACAAATAGGTGGTATGGACAGACTTAAAAATGACCAGAACCTCTAATTTACTTTGATCACTTCAGACTGATTTTTTAAGTCACTATTGCCTGAGTGCACATTTCATTAAATATTTCTACATTATATTTTATGTTTTCTCTCAATATTGTAAATTAATATTTTCAATTAATAATCTAAATTTCAGTATGTTACTTGCAAAAAGGTATTGAATGTTTTCACTACCCCATTCACTAACATAGCATGGAAAAAGCAATGTCTCAAAGAAGAGGGAATGTCATATATGTTTGTAAAAAAAAAATTAAGGGGGAGAAACCAATGACACAATTTTCATTTTGGGGTGAAAGCTTTTAAAGCATGTGATTTAATGATCACACTCACCTTATGCACTGTGGTATCCAGATCTTTACACAAAGTGGTGACTTTCTCATTAGCCGTGTATCCAGTCTGCTGTGCAAACTGATACCTGTAGAAGACATACATATTAAATGAACAAAATATCAAAACACTACTCAATGGTCAAACTCATAGCCTGAAAACGAACACGGTAAACATCGCTCTGCAGTTCATACTGTGTTTCTCACCTGCTGAGCATAGATGCAAGTCCATTGGATGCTGTGATCACGTCCACCACCGCTTGCAGTACCTGTTGTGGGAGCTTGGTAGCGCTCTGTCCGTCAATGGCATTGACACGCCAGCGCCCCTGTATGCTCATCTGCAGAGTGTGAGCCACTGCACGCAGCTTCTCCGTCAAACTGCGCAGACTGTCACCCCCAACACTGTATGTCTGTGCAGACATGGGAAACATGTTAGGTGCCATTCACATCATCTTCAGAAAGTGTTTTTTTTTAAGTGGAATAAAAAAAAAAAAAAACAAGGTCTTGAGATCCATTTTTAAAAGCTGAACCTTTTTTAATGTCATTCTTATGGTGCGTTTCATTCCTCCTAAAAAGTTCATATTTACAAGTTGGGAAGTTGTAATTATGATGCCAGATTCAAGTTACTTTGTTTAGAGCAATGAATCTTTTAAAATTTTACTTCAAGAATAGGATGAATAAAGAATGTGCATCAGGTGTGTTTTTAGTTTTTTTTAATGTTTTATATTCAACTTATGAAGGTGCTGTGTTATATATTCCAGTGGTTTTCAATCCTGGTCCTGGGGACCCAGCTGAACCACACTGCTCTGCACATTTTTTATGGCCGCGTCCAAATCACATTCTCCTTACTGTATATACTCATTTTGAATAAGTACTTGCATTGGAAGCACTAAAAATTGTTCTACACTTGTGGTCAGAATTGTTGGCACCCCTGGTAAATATGATCAAAGATAGCTATACAAATAAATCTGCATTGTTTATCCTTTTGATCTTTAACTAAAAAAACTGAAGTAAAATAATTGAAAGTGTGTGTGTGTGTGTGTGTTGGGGGAGGTCACAATCACATTGTAAAATAAATGTTTGTTTTTTTTTCTCCAAAAACATGTTGGCCACAATTATTATTAAATACGTTTTGCAACCTCCTTTTGCCCAGATAACAGCTCTGAGTCTTCTCATATAATGAGTTTGGAGAACACCTGAGATAAGACCTAATGAGATCAGAGACCATTCCTCCATACAGAATCTCTCCAGATCCTTCCGATTCCCAGATCCATGTTGGTGCTTCTCTTCAGTCCACTCCACTCATTTTTTATAGGGTTCAGGTCAGAGAACTGGCTTCCATTACAGTAACTTCTTTTTGTGTTCAGTCAGACATTTTTGTGTTGTTTTAGATCGTTGTCATGATGGAAGATCCAACAACAGCCGATTATAAGATTTCTAGCAGAAGGGGTCAGGTTTAGATTTTTTATCTGTTGGGATTTTTTCTAGAATCCATGATACCATAAATAGTCTGGAGGCCAGGAGCTCTAGCAGAAAAATAGGTCCACAACATTAAAGATCCAGCTGTATAATTATTAACTGTGGGCATGGGGTACTTTTTTCCCTTTTAGCACAAAACCCATCTTATGGGTTTGCTGCCAAAAATCTCTCTTTTTTTAGTTTCATCTGACTAAAGAACACAGATCCAGTATTGTCTGACAACTGAATATGCTGGAGTTTGTTTTTGGATGAGAGAGGAGGATTTAGTATGGGTTGTTTATTTATATATATATATATTTTTTAGGCTTTCTGACCCCAAGACCCAACTAATCTCTGCAATTTTCCATCTGTGATCCTTGGAGATTGGAGATTCTTCGGCCACTCAAACTTTCCTCCTCATTGTGCATTAAGACGATATAGACACTCGTCCCCTTCCTGGCAGGTTCGTAATATCTTTACTTGATTGGAACTTCTTAATTATTGCCCTGATGATGGAAATGAGAATCTTCAAAGCTTTATCTATTTTCTTACAGCCACTTTATCTTTTGTGAAGCTCAACAATCTTTTTCTGCACAGAACTGGTTTTACTCATTGTGATGGCTGATTAAGGGAATTTGGCCTTTGCGTTTCCTCATATTTATATTCCTGTGAAACAAGAAGTCATAGCTAGACTATTTCATGCTCCCAGTCACCCTGGTGTGCTAAAAAATTTTAATATTAATGGGAATATTCTGTAGAGATATTTTATTCATAAAATATTCTAGGGGTGTTTCATGATGTTTTGCCTTCTCTTTTATAAGTACTGCGAATTCGGACGTACTACTCTTCATTTCAACAAATTTACCATCAACACAGACACTGCATCTATTGCATCTGCCATATTTTCTCACTGATGCCCCGACTCAAAAACTCAACAGCACTTGAAAGTTCAAAGTTTCTCACATGTAATTACAACTTTGTTCAAGTCATAAATACAATCTTTCCGACATAACTTGAACACACTATTAAAATAAGGCACAACGGTCTGTCTCACACACACACAGATTTATATGGAAAAACAATTAAGGCCTATTTAGCATGTTTATAAATGCATGTGTTCTGAATTTTAACAAGAATAATAATCACAACTCTGCATTAAAATCATCTGATGTCCTTAATTAACATATACACCTTGTTTATAACATTTATATCTCATTTTAACACTCCCTATTTACCTTTTATTACACTCTAAAATGTCTGACATGTTTCCATATAATTTATCTCTCCCTCTTTCTCTCTATCTCTCTTACACACATACACACCCACCCACACTCAACATAATGTCCACCACACATTTCCAAGTCTACAGAGATTCCTGAGATTTGAGGTTTCCAAAAATACAGGTCTTGTAATTCTCCTGCTATTCACTCTATAGCAAAGCAGGAGCAGTTAAGCCTGACGTTTACTGTTACGACACACGCAGGGAGTCCTGGCACCATCAGGTTCACATTAATCCTCTCAGCAGGCAAAACATTTACAGCACAAGGACCATATCCACTGTCAGCTCACTGGAAGCTTCAGTCAGCGAGCTAGCAATAAACATATTTGTGACCCTGGACCACAAAACCAGGTCACAAGTCGCATGGGTATATTTGTGGCAATAGCCAACAAAAAGTCAAAATTATCTATCGTGCCAAAAATCATTAGGATGTTCTCATGTTCCATTAAGATATTTTGTAAATTTTGTACCGTAAATACTTAACAAATGTATTTTTGTGAGTGGATGCATGTAGCAAAATCACAAACATAAATGGAAAAATGGACAAAAGGCAATTTTTTCAATATTTCAATTTTTTTGCAGCATCAGATTTTAGGTTTTCAGTTAGCTGTATCTCGGCCAAATATCGTCCTATCCTAACCATTAATCAATAAAATGCATATTTAATCAGCTTTCGGATTATGTATAACTCTAAATTTCACATTTTTCTGACAGGGTTTGTGGTCCAATGTCACATTTTTGCTCTAAAAATGAATGTCCTCCGAGACCCTGCTAAAGTCAGCAGGGTGAGCAACTCTCACGGATGTAATGAAATTAACAGAGAGAGAGAGAGAGAGAGAGAGAGAGAGAGAGAGATTGTAAACAGAGCAGTTCAGTCTCAGACTATAATGTTATAATAACTGTTTAAAAAAATGAAAGTGACTCATTGAAGTGCTACAGCATTCTTCCCCCCCATAACAAAGGCTCTAAATTGGACAGCAGACGCTAACACATACACTACCAAAAAATCATTCAGAAATACTTAACATAGGATGAAATAATAGAAGGATTATTACAATACAATTACACCCTGTATTCACAAACCATACAGTCAAATCCAAATACTCCATTCATATACTACATCCATTCGCTCACTCACACATACACACAATCCTACCAAAGCACAGAGTTTTTCCACAGCCTCTAGTATAAGCTCCTGATGTCCGATTTTATGCACTCCGAGTTTCTCCAGTCTGGAAGAGGAAAGTTGCAGCAGATCTGAGCCAGAGAGCTGCCACTCAGAAAATAAGTACTGCTGCAGAGGAGCATCCAGACCTAACAGACACACAGACATATAACAATAAGTTAGGACACAGAGACATTCAAGTTCAGTGATAGTTAAAGTTCGTCAGTACCAAATGTTACTGGATACAAATGTAATAAAGTAAATATTATATACTGTATACTACCATTACAAAGCCAATTTTTGAAATACATTTTATATACTTTAAATACATACTTATATACTAGCAAGGATGTATTAAATTGATCAGTGACCGTAAAGACTTTTATAAAGACTTTTATATTGTTACAAATGTTTCCATTTCATATAAACGCTGAAAAAAATGCACAATTTTCACAAAAATATTAAGCCGCAAAACTTAAAACAAAAATTAACATAGATAATAATAAGAAGAAACTTTATTTACAAGTAACAAAACAGCATATTACAATAATTTCTGAAGGATCATGTGACACTTAAGACTGGATAAAGACAGCTTTGTCATTTAAGGAGTAAATTACATTTTTTAATATATTAAAATAGAAAAGTTATTTTAAATTGTATTCATATTTCACAATATCACTGTTTTGTTTTATCAAATAAATGCAGCCATGGTGAGCATAAGCATACTCACCCTCAAGCGTAAAAATCTTACCAACCCCAAATATCTGAATGCATCTAAAAATTCTAAATAATCTTCAAAAAAATGAAAAAATATATATATATATATTATCTCAAAAAAGATATAAAGTTAAAAAGAAAATACAATCGTCACTATTATAATGGAGAAACGAAAATGTTACCCAAATAAAAATATTGAAAGAGTAGAAAGAGTGAGATGCCAACACATTATGAATGAAAGGAAATGGCAACATCATGAGGTACCACCCACTGAACAATACACATATCAAAACAATTCCATATATCTGTTATAATTGAAGGAAATGAGGATGAAGAATACCCAAGAGTACACACTAAAGCTGTGCAGCCAGCTGTGCCTGTCATGTTAAAAACACACCTGCTATGTGTTTACATCAGGAAAAAGCATTTTAGGAAATTCTCATCTGAAAGCAATTTCTATTGTTCACTAGTTTGGAATGATCAAAACCAGCACCAGATGCACATACTTCACTGTAAACTCATACACATGTGTGACCCTCAAAACATTCAGAGTTTAAGCTTTTTTTCTCTAAGCTGGTGAAACACAAAGATTTTAGACCCTGAAGGAAATTCCTTTGCGTAAGATTTTTACGCAACTACATCCACAGCCAAGAGATATTATAACCATTTGAGACTATTCCCTAGATTCACAACACATGTAAAGTATTTTACCATTAGCCTATTAAATCAAATGAAATGCAGTATAAAATGCAATCTAGCCCACAGTGAATATAAGGCTTTGTTATCACATTTGGTTTGATATAATATTTATTCAGCCTTTAGAGATCTCATAGCTCCAAAACAGGATTTAAATGATCACAAGATACAACCTAATGTCCAATTGTCAAACACTTAGACAAACAAACAAAAAAGAGAAGGGACTCTATGCTTCTGTTACAGTCGAATAGGTTATATGGGCTTCAATAAGATCTATACAAACACACAACTAGACAACATTAGTAAAGTACATATAATACTTGTATTTTGCAGTAGTTTTACTATTGTTTCTTTGAACTCAAAAGGCCGGGGTTAAATTAAGTTACGATTTGTTTACAACATTTAATTTTAGGAAAAAAGCAAGAAAAATTGATATCATCTGTGAAACAACTGTGAATTACAAAAATAGGATGAAGCTCTTATTTGAAGTTAAGATACAGATTTAAGAAACCAAGTTAGGTGAAACTGTTGCAAGCATAATAGAAGAGATAAGGCCTGGTTAGGAAGTCAAATGGCTTTTACATTTATGCCTAGACTTATTGTGACAAACTTTGGCATCATTTGTGATCAACATCTTTTCTTCTGCAATATTGGTCGAACTTTTCAGTTGCCAAAGACTTTAAAGGTATATGTGCCTACAATTGAATTTCAGAAACATTCATTGAAGTATTAAGTAAACTGTTCTCCTAATTCATATTAGGCTACTAAGCCACTGTAAATACAATAACTCAATGGAATTATAAAGCAAAAACGAAGTAGCCAACATAAAGAGCAAAGGGCCAGCAGTGCATGTAATCAATGTTATACTTTACATTTCAGTTGGATAAAGACATGCAAGTACAAGCAACTGCTCCACAAAATAACCATAATGGTTCATAGTAGCCTATTACGCAATAGCTACTAAAGTATAGTAGGTCTACACTATAATACCAATATAAATATTTTAAACCCACAGCGACACAAACACGATTGTGAAGTATAAACAACTTTGTAGAGAGTTCGAGTGTTAAAGTGAAACCACAGATCATCAGAACTGAGCGAGCGCAGCTAACAGAGACATGGGCCAGTCTGGACTCGCACAGAGAATGACAACAGCAGATTGTATCGCTATGCATATGATGAACGACGTATCAGTACTATTGCATATTGTTTTTTTAAAGTTTGTTAAAACGCCCTTGTATTCACCAGCTGTTAGTTACGCGCGAGCGTTTATCAACAAACTAAAAAGCGCTTCCTCATTCCACCAACACCTTCCATTCCTTAGGGATTTGTGTCGTTCCTGTTTTATTCGGCCAAATCTTTCTGTCGACCTACATGAAACCAACTGTCGGTCTCTAAAAACACAAAGACACAGACATAAACAAAAACACAACCGGTTACCTTTGAGCCACTCGGTGACTCTCTCGGTGCTCCAAGACGCTACGGGATCCATGATCTTAAGGGCATGAATTCAAATCCCCGAAGTGGATCAGAGCAAAGAACAATTCATCCTGCTGTCTGTCTGGTTGGCACACCTTCCCACAGGTAAAGCTGCGCTCTCAGCCAATAGTGTTGTGCGCACACTGCGCCTGTCTCCGTTTGCTGAGCTGGGCGGGTTCATGAAACTGTCATAGAGGCTGTTCAATGCGCCGAGAACAAATCTGTTTTCTGTTTTTTTGTTTGTTTTTTCGGTTTGCCAAGTTGCCAGACTACCTCCTTGCAAACTTGAAAATGTTTTCATCACCTTTCTGCTAGCATTAGTAAAACTATTTTAAATCCAATTTCCCCCTTAAAGAGAGAGTTCACCCAAAAATGAAAATTCTGTCATCATTAACTCACCCAACCTGTATGAATTTCTTTGTTCTGCTGAACACAAAATAAGATTGCCTATTCTAAAGAATGCTGGTAATCAAATTGAAAATAAGAATTACAAATGTTTAAAAATATCTTATTTTGTGTTCAACATAACAAATACATACATGTTTAAAACATGAAGGTGAGTAAATTATGACTAAATTTTCATTTTTGGGTGAACTATCCCTTTAAGTTGAAATTTACATGTTATAAATTTTTGGAAACATTGTTTCTTGTTGACCAGTAGAGGGTATTCTTTTGAAAATACAGTTTAGCTGGGGGAAACATGGGATTTAATAAGTTAAAGGTAAAGGTTTGCAATAGCTATAAGCTTTGAAAGCATGAGATCCCATACTCTCTTCAGAGCGTCTCCAAAGCCACGCCTCCTTCAAAACACATGAACACACACACACACACACACACAGCAGAGTCTGCAAATCGTCAGGAGACGAGAGACAGTGTTACAGTTAACTGTCACCGTCCCACAGGTGGGACGTTTGCCACTATATTTTTAAAACAATAATATCTTAGTAAATACCTTAAATAATATTGATAAACTATATATCATTTGAAAGCTTACAATCTCTAGTTTCCATATTTGGTGACTGATTTTCAAAATATATTACAGAGAAGCCATAATTTATCAATATGCAACAAGAATATTTTCATACTCATAAGGCGTGTTCAGACCTTTATTTTAAAATAGCAGTAAACATGAAAAATCATGAAAAAATGGTAGAAACCTCAGTTTGTTTTCATGCCAAAAGTTCAAAAGATAGAATCCATTCAATTATTTTGAAAAAAAAAGGTCTGAAAAGTTTGAAATATCAAGAAAAAAATAATAAATTCACCATTTGTGACGTGGCAGCTAGCTATGACTTACATGCATGTTCTTTGTATGTGTTTCTTAGAGGTTCAATTCATATCAAAATCTGCCAAACTTCCCATACTACTTCTGAATAGGATCTCTACTTCAGAAATTGTATGAAAATTGTGAAAATAATGGTTCATATCACTCAAAACACAAATGGAAATGCAGACGCCCTTATATGGGCAGTAATGGAGTCTGATTGTGCCCTAGTGAAAAAGTTTGGTACTGCGCTCAAACAAATTCTTACTGAAAGCTCATTTTTTGAGATATCAACCTAAAATTTGAAACACAACTTGTTCAGATTTTTGGCTTTGATCTTTCTGCCGTTTTAGAGTAGCCCAGGTTTTGAAAATATATATTTTATGTAAAATATGAATAATTAATGTTTTTACATTGTACATTTCCATAAACTCAAACTTCTATAACTTTTTTTCTGTTTCACTTTCTTAATTTATTTCACTTCTACAAAAATCTGCCAAATGTCTTCTTTAAAACAAGACCAATCATATGTCTATATTCCAAAGCATTCTTGAATTACAACCATTTAAGTTCGAAATGTGCATTTTCATGTCTATTCAAAAAAAGGGGGGGGGGGGGTGACAGTTAAGAGGTTAAAGGAGTAGGCCTAGTTCACTTAAAAAAAAATTGCTGATAATTTACTCACCCCCATGTCATCCAAGATGTCAATGTCTTTCTTTCTTCAGTTAAAAAAATTAAGGTTTTTGATGAAAACATTCCAGGATTTTCTCCATATAATGGGCTTCATTGGGAACCAAACGGTTCAAGGTCCAAATGAGAGTTTCAGTGCAGCTTCAAAGGGCTTTAAACGACACCAGACGATGAATAAGTGTCTTATCTAGGACCCTTCGAGTCATGACTCAAAAAAAGATTTGTTCATTTTGATGAACGAGTTTGATCAGGAGAGTCACAAACGCTCATCACAGAACAGAGCAAGGCGAGCATTTGTGCTTATAAAACTTAAATATTTTTATTTATTTTTGAAATGACTGATGGTTTCGCTAGATAAGACCCTTTTTCATCGTCTGGTGTCGTTTAAAGCCTATAAAAAAGCATAAAAAACGCTATTTGTAGCCTATTTATGTGTCATGGGAATATATGTGGTTTTAATTATATTTTTACAAGAACATTTTTAAACGTAAACATTCAGAAGAGAGGAAAAACAACTAAGACCTGCTCGGTTGCCACATATAATAATATTCTCAACGAATGTAGCTATTTGGCTAAAGATGATTGCCACGATATAAATTTAGCCCATCATAAAAGCAGTTCTTCTAAATGTTTCAACAAGTAAATCCGAGGGAGATAATCCCATATCGTCTGTTAATTTTCGTTTTCGCTAACTTGTCTCACTAACTGTGATTAGATAATAAACGTATATTACTTGAAAAGCGCTAAACAAATACTAATTACTTAGTTACTAATTACTACAAATTACTTGGCAACAAACTCCTTTTATCAAGTTATCGGGAGAACACATTTAGATCAGGCATACTATAATTGATTTGCTTTTGGTGCACTGTGGAGTGGGTAAAACTGTTTTTAATGGCATGCTAAAAGTTTCTGTTGACTCGCGCTAGCCTAGCACCGGCGAACTATGCAACTGGGACGACTGGATGAAATTTTATTAAAACTGTCTCCACTGATAAATAAAACTAACGCTCACTTGGAAATTGGCCCGATGTCAAATTCCGAACCACCCCTTTAAGTGTTTTTTTGTTTTGTTTTGTTTTGTTTTGTTTTTTTCATCAGGGCACTGTACTGTACTCTAGCGCCTCCTACTGTCTGTCTAATAGATGCAGTGTTTAGGTGATGTGTGTGTGAATGCAGAAAATATATTTTAAAATATTTGACGATATACAAACCTGAAGAGACATGTTTCAAAAGCACCATGTCTTGGCTCCATAATTCATTTCTCCCATTCAGATCCAACATGTTGTAAACAGAGTGCATCTCTTAATGCATGTGCAATAAGGCAATGACGCAGAGACAATATGATTCAGAACATATGGCTATGGAGTATAGATGATAGCGCTACATAAAAGAGAATTCGCTTCAAAAGCAAAGCAAGTGCATTATTTGATTTGCATTCTATTGTAGAGCATAGAGGCGGCCGAGCAGTGAGTGCCCTTATGAAATCTATCCTTGAAGCTCTTGATCTCCTGCTAATAATTATTGTACTGAGTTATGGCGGCATTGTGTCCACAGAGATGACCTGACCTGGTACATCATTCAAAATCCTTTGTTCTCGACTCTATAAGATTCACGACCAACACAATATTACAAAGGTCTAAACTTGCATTTTGTTGCAATCTATGCATAGAAGTTCATTTATCCAGCGCTATGGAAATGGGTGAATAATATACATTTTTATTCCAATGAAATGATTTGGCTCTATATATCATGTTTGAATTTAACTTTTATTTTGTATCACATTCATTTGAAATTGACCCTTGACCTACAACCCCAAATCAGAAAAAGTTGGGACATTTTGTAAAATGCAATAAAATCAAGAATCTCTGACTTTTTCTTCATTCTATTTAACATTTTAATAGCTGACAAAAGAACAAAGAAACGTTTACCAATGTTTTCACTGACCAACATAATTGTATATCAACACATTTTGATTTTGATGGCTGCAACACACCCCAAAAAAGTTGGGACAGAGACCAAATAAAAGTGAAAAGATTATCCATTATCCAACTATTGAAACAGACCACAATGAGCAGGAGAATTGGTAATAGAGGGTATCATGTTTAGGTGTAAAAGTTCTTCTTAGTCTTTGTGCAAAGATTGGTCATGACGCATCACTTTGTGCCAAATATCTTGAGAGAATTGGCAAACAATTAAAAAAAAATCATATTTCTCAATACAAGATTGCAAAGCATTTATGCCTTTACTCCCATACATAATATTATCACAAGATTCTGGGAATTCAGAGAAATATCAGTCTGTGTTGGGTAAGGCAGGAGACCTTTGTTGAATGTGCGTGACCTTTGAGTCCTCAGATGGCACAAGATACCATCATGCTACACTCTTAGAAGAAAAAGTTCTATATAGAACCATAAAAGGTTCAATGCAGCACAGAACCCCTTTTAAGGGTTCAATAATAAGAACCCTTTAGGAAACTTTTTGGGTTCATTCATTTTTACAAAATGTCCAAGCTTTTCCTGATTTGAGGTTGTAGTTTCATTAAAAAACGGTGTATTGATTCTCAAATCTCGGTTTAACTGCATGGATATGACAGAGAGTCCCTGAGGCTATCGTCCTCCTACAAGAAATTAGCCAAATACCATTCAGTCTTTTGCATGTCTGAACACATCACGTTCTTCATATTGACAATGTAAAATGTAAGAAATGAGAATTGCTGTTTTGCCAGCACACTTGCCAAATTTAGATCCAGATCCAGTCTCAGAACGTCAAGAATTCTACATCACTTTCCCAATAAAACAAACAACAAAATGACAATTACAGGCCTTTTCTGGAGTTAAATAAATGTATTTGTTTTAATCAACTGCCTTTGGGACATTGAATCAGTGCTGGTTTGTAACTAAAAATTAAAAATTAGATATTTGATTTTTCGAACGAACCCCCTGCAGTTCCATCACACACCCCAGTCTGTTAAACCCAGACTTATGGCAACATTTAATGCACTTCATGTTGCTGATAACAAAGGATTGAATATATTTTCTTTCCCTTTTCTATATCAATGTTACAAGATTATCCTATTCAAATCAATGTGATTAACGAGTTAGGTCAAAAGTAATCTAAAAAGTATTCAAAAAGTAGTCCGAATAAATGACCTAAAATGAGTTCTCTAGATTACGTATGA